GCACTATCGTTTCGACACTGCACACACAGGTGTATTTAGTCGTCCCTAAATAGTCCTAGTGAACTGCCCATGTCATCCGGAGTGCGGACGGCTGAGGCGGTGGCTGGGAGTCGAGGAAGACTCCTCAAAGACTCAAAGATCGAAGAGGTTGGTTTGATCGGCAACCCTCCGTTGCCGCTCCATAAGACCACATCCTCTTCTAGTAGCTATCAAGTTGCTAGCTTATTATCTATCTATCGTCTTGATTTGTCATAAAGTTTTAAAATAATCAATCACCATGGCCGCTGCGGAAGCCCGTGCCATGCTGGATGCCCTCATGGGCGGCGATCGGGATGCGCCACTGCCGGCGGGTGCCGCCATGCCCTTGTCGAAAAAGAAGAAACGCAAAGCCGCCGGTGGCGAAATGCTGTTATTGCCAGGAAAGCGTTCCAAGTCTTGTTTTGACAATGACATTGATCCACTCTACTGTGCGTGGGGCGTCGATGTCTACGAGCTATTTGTCAATACCAAATCGGACATTGGACCCAATCCGTATCAAGTCGACGAAGGAGCGCGGCAAGAGTTTTTGAAATTGTCTCCTCCCGAACAGGAACGATTGGGATTTCATTACTTTTTGTACCAAAAGTTGCAGGAATTGGTCCGGAGTGGAGATCGAACGGTGGCCCGAAACAAGGAGAAATTGGCGCAGGAATTACGCCGATTGGCCGCCAAGCGAGGCGCCAATCCGTCCCAACAACCGGTAGTGGACTATGTCAAGGATGTCGATGAACAGGCCGTCGAGGCAGTGGCACGCAATCAACTGGAATTAGAGTTCTTGCAGGAAAAGTTGGACACGGAACTGCTACCCAAACTCAATGATATGCAAGAGCAAGAAGATCATCTCAAAGAAGAACTCTCCAAACTGTTAGGGGAACAACGAGAAATGGATGAACAATTCAAAAAGAAAACACTAGAAGACAGCGCTATGCAAGAAGAAAAGGAAAAGGAGGCTACGGAGGACGACAAGGGAACAGATATCCAGCAAGAAGGAGAAGAAGCAACCAAAGTCAAGCAAGAAGAGGATGATAATGACAACAAAGAAAACACGGCTACTAGCGAAGAAGCTACTCAAGTCAAGCAGGAAGAAAAAGAGGAAGAAAACAACAACGACAAATCACAACCAGAAAAGAATCCTCGCACGCAGGAACTCCAAGTGGAATTGGGAAAATTGACACTCCAAAAACAAAAGGTCCTTTGGGAGGTATCCCGGACTCTCAGTCAAACGGGACCACTCCAAGAAGGCATTGATGGACAGCATCGAAATTTGCTCTACGTCAAATCGGATATTGCCGTGGATAAAACTGTCTGTGAAGTTTCCGGGAACTTTATGAGTGCGCGTGATGCCGATGAACGCATTGCCGCTCACTACGCCGGGAAACAATACGTGGGGTGGAAACTGGTACGTGAAAAATTCAAGGAAATGATGGCCAAGTACGGACGGTATGGACCGCCACCGCCCGATCGGAGAGGTGGATCGGCGGGTGCTCCCATGGGGATGCACAATAGTAGAGGAGGTGGTCCACCGCCTTCCCGAGGTGGTGGATATGGTGGTGGTGGACGAGGAGGCGGTGGTTTTGATCGAGATCGTGGTGGTGGCGGTGGTTATGGAGGAGGTGGTGGTGGATATGGCGGAAGAGGACGTGGACGATTCGATTCGGGACGTGGTCCTCCAGATCGAGGAGGTAGATGGGAGAGACATGGACCTGGTGGACCTCCTCGGGGTGATTACAATCGCGGTGGCGGTGGTCGTGGCGGATGGAGACGATGAGTGAGTGATGAAGAGTGTTACGTACGGTGATGTTGCAAGAGGAAACGGTCAGGCTAAATTGGCCCCGTTTGATGGGTGTGGAGATGATCGAATACTACGGAATCAATGTAGAACATAGTATGGGTTAACTCTGACGTTTCTCAGTTTGGCATGCGATCATCCAGTACTAGCTAGAAAGCACACAATAAGTTGCTGCCTGCCTCCACCAATCCACAATGGCACACCCACCGTGCGTTCGATAGTTCACAACTTTGGGCACATAGCCTCGTCATCCGACACTGCTGCGACCACTTATGCTACTACTGTCGAGTCTTCTTGGGAGGTTCGTAATACTGCCTCCCAAAGTTGGTCCTTTGACGACTTCAATTGGGTTTGAAAGGCAATGGCGTTGAAAGCATGACTAGCTTGTTACTTGCGGGTTCCAGCAGCTGCATTCCAATTCCACGCTTTGGCAAATGCTTCGAGGATTCAATTCAGCCCAGCTAGCTAGACTAGCTACATGTAAAGAAGACTGCAGTGTTTAGTACTGTAAGATCGCTATTTATTATGTCAAGTGGCTAGTTCTTCACTGTGCCAGTTTCTCATAAGCAAGCATACACTCAACACACAAATATACATGGGACTGTTGGGTGCCCTCGGCCTGTTCCTAGTAGCTACCTTCCGCCGGTGCCTACAACACGGGCATTGAATGTGGAACGTTGGGTCGATTCGAAAATACCTCCGGACTGGTCCTCTGTCCATACTGCTTCCGTAATATAAACTTTGGGCGCAAAAGACGAATGTGTTAGTCGAATTCCAGATTCAGCCAGTTCAGATGCTGCAGATTCAAAGCCTGTGGACTTACCTTGATAGTCTTGGTTCTGCATTGCCATGAAGATTTCATCGACAGTGGGTTCGGTGCCTGCAGGAGAAGCCATGAAGCTTGTTAGCAACATCCCAACACCGAGACTAGAAATTCACACACACACACAACGAAACTTACCAGGCTCGAAGTCTGCGACAGCATCGAAATCGATTTTGATGGGGTACTCAGCTGACGTGTCGAACACTTGATCCAAAAACACGGTTTCGAAGTTTACCAGTGTTGGGAAAATTGGTTGTAGCTTCATAACATACCACTCGGACGTACGGGCCAACAGTGCATCGATTTCCTCTTGTGTTGCCGCTCGCGGAGTTGTCTCTTCGAACAGACCAAAGCTCAAACTGGAACTAGGCATGATAAAAACACGCGTGGTTCCATCGGGGCCCGGAGCTGGCCCAGCACCTGGTGGCGACACGGTTGGAGCTGTAGCATTGCCCGGAGCAATCGTTGGCGCACCTCGTGGTGGAATAGTCGGGACGGGCCCGAATGTCCTGCGAACAGGAGTGGTATTGGGACAAATGGGGAGATGTTCCTCTTCCTCTTCACCGTGGTGGTGGTGCTGGAAGTGGTTGTACTTCTTGGTCTTTGGCAGCTGTGGTTCTGATAAGTCTTCGTCGAAGTCTTCTGCCTGGATAAGCAGCAGGTCTTCACTGGTAGTCGTCATTTTGACGGTGCCAAACATAGTCTTGACACCGTCGCCATCGCCTTGACGTTTTCGGATGCTACCTCGGTAACCTCTTCTTGCTCTTCCTTGGTGGTGATTTCCGCGTCCTTGTCTGTGGTGCCCCAAGTTTCGTTGACGGTAATAGGAGCTTTTGGAGCCCTTAGAGCCCTTAGCCTTGGAGTATCTCGTATCTTCATCATGACCTCCGTGACCTCTTCCCTTGCTGTACGTTGCGTGTGCTGTGAGATAGTCTCCTGTGCCTGCAGCAGCTGCCGTTGCATCATCATCGTGTTCGTGCTCGTGTTCGTCATGACCATCATAGTTGTGGTCGTCATGCTGATAGCCATCGTCGTCACCGTGATAGCCACCGTCGTCATCGGCGTGGTTCCTCGCCTTGGATTTGGATTTGCTGCCAGTGTGCAAGTGGTGTTTTGCAACCTTCTGGTGATGATGTTTGTGGGGATGGTGTTTGTGTTTGTGATCATGGTGGTTCTTGCCATGCTTATGTTTGTGTTTCCCATGGTTCCTGTTGTTCTCATGATAAGACTCGGGGATACAATTAGTGAAAGGTCTGGGTGTAATGTCTGGTGACAGATAGTTCGCTTCGTGAACGTGGTAGTCGTAGTATGTGCTGCTGTCGTGCACGTGAAGGTAGCCCCCACTGTGGTGTGTATCGTCGTCTTCTGCATAGTGTCCCTGCTGGGCAGCAAATGCCTCCTGAATGGCAACGTGATGCCTGTATCTCATAGCATGGCTCCCCAAGTCTCTTCTGTTGGGAACACCATCCTCCTCTTGTCTTGACGACCCTTTCAAGGCGGCTTCTGTTCCCGCCACGAAGAGCGCTGCTGCAGATAAGAGCACCAAACTAACTCGTTTCAGTATCATGGTGCTGTATATGTGGAACTTTTTCGTCTCTCCTCTTCTTCGTACAGACTGTCTTTATTGTCCGTTATCATAAAAATGTTGCGAGAGAGTGACAGCAACGGGCCAGAGGTGCACTCAGCAAATTTTTTGTCTCTTGACCGTTGTTTGTTCCACAAAAACGGTGCGTTAGAATTTCAAATATCGGTGTGCGTGGAACGTGGAAATGGACCCGAGCTCGATTTCGAGCAGAACAAGAAAAAACGATCTGTTCTTCTGGAAGGCCTCGTCATGCGACTGTTAGTCCCGGATTCTTCTTCCTATGGTCAAAGTCGCGTCGGATCGCTGAAAGTCGTTCACAAAGTCGCGTGCGAGTCGTACGCGACTTTGGTACGACTTTCCGAACGACTTTCAGCGATCCGACGCGACTTTATCGCCATACTTACAGTAAACTTGCGCGACTTTCAAAGTCGTGTGAGAAAGTCGCACGCGACTTTGGTGCGACTCGCATGCGACTTTATGAACGACGTTTGATGCGACTTTGGTGCTCCTGTGCGACTTTATGCTGATTTTGGCGATTTTCAGTCGTATGACCGGGCCTTCCTGGACTTGTGTCAGCCCTTCGACAGTCCAAGGTACCGATACGGGTACCACTTCAAGCTCCACCTCGATCAGCACTGGGACAACAATGATAATATCCAAGATATCAGAGAAAGCACTGAGAAGGGAGACAGACAAGGATGGCCCCCTCTGATACCTCCACACCACCAGGGCATCGTCGTCGAGCTTCAATACCCACAGCATTCTTCTCTCTGCCAACAACAAGCGAGTTCTTTCGAAAGACCCAGTTCAAGCCAACAAAGATCTTTGGAGTGCTGTATCTAGCAGAAGCCAAGCCTGATGCAGATCGTCTCCGTTTGCATACTGTCGAAAAACTACTTGAGTTTCCTCGGTTTTCGTCTCGAGTCAAATTGGAAACAAACTTTTTCGGAACAAGGCAAGCGTTCTTTGAAAGGATACCTCGGGAACAAATTGATGTGGACTATCACTTTCAAGTGATCCAGGGCCAGCAAACCTTCTCGGCAGAAGATAACATCAGTGAAATGGTTTCGGAAGCGCACCTCCTAGACTGGGATCCGGACAAACCGCTGTGGAAGATCACCTTGGTCACTGATATGAAGGACGGAAGATCCATGATTCTGGCAATTGTGGATCACACTGTGGGAGATGGAACTTCATTGGCAGCCATCATGTCTTCAATTTTTGATAAAAATGACAATCACAGCGAAACGAAAGAACCATCCAGCAAGGCCAAAGCCGCAGATACCCCTCTGCGACTCTCTCATAGGATCCTTATGAACCTATACAGTGTCTACTTTGGTACCGTTGGGTTTCCTCTGGTACCCGCAGACCCCGAGACCTGTCTCAAGGTTTCCGCCAAGAACAAACGAGCAGCACCCATAGGTCGCAAATGCAGTGCAACGCGACATTTTCCTCTCGAAGAAATCAAAGCAATCAAAAGTCAGTTTCAAGGCGCAACGCTGAATGATGTTTTAAACGCTCTCGTGACCATGGCCTTTCGACGGTATCTGGAAAAGGCGCCAGGTCGTCCCATTCATATGATGTTTGCCATCAACTATCGTCCTCCGTCGACTACCATGGAGGATCTGGTGCGACAAGGAGGGAGTAACAGAGTTGTTGGGGGCTGCTTGGCAGTGCCCTTGAGCTACACATCGCCATTGGATGCGGTGTGGAGATGCAAAGCAGCTATGGATATTTACAGACGTACTCCACTAATTCCTATCTTCAGCCACATTTCAAATGTAGCCATGGGATTTCTACCGCAAATGTTGCTCGAGCATATAGCGCTTGACAACTACTTCAAATCCACGGGGTGCTTGAGCAATGTCATGGGTCCAACCAAACAAGCAAAGCTAGGAGGCTATGTTGTCGATGATATTGCGTTCTATGGTATGGCCACAGCGCAAGGGACTTATATTGGAGTGCTATCGTACAACAATCAGCTACGAATGTTCATATGTATGGACAAGCATGTAGATGCGGATCCGGATGGGCTGCGGGATGCCCTCGAAGCCGCCTACCAAGAACTGAAGGACGCAACAAAGGCAGCATCACCCTCTGAGCTGATACCGCCTGACTCGACTCCCATGTCAGCTAAAGTTCTTGAGTGGGCTCTGCCGATTCTCTTGATTGTTGCTCTTGGTCGTTGGTTGGCTGTGGCAACGTAATTTGCAGTTAACGGCCTTTCACATTCACATCTCCGTGGCCAACAAAGATGGTGGCGAGCTACAAATACATTCAAGCATTATTGGAGCCTTGTTCTAGGCCAAGTCACCGAGATTCTTGGGGATCCAGCCGATGGATCCTCCTTCGATCCACTTTCGTTGCATATGAACTACAACAAACCTGGAACGAATTACCAATGGACGAGGACCGAATGCCTCATCGTACGGCGCTGCACTGTACGCTGTCAACTTCAGTACAGTCGTATCGTATTGGTTGTCTCGACAAGTGAAAACGCTGGCATGTTCGCGGAACCGGAACCACAGCCACAGAAGACAGCACAGCACTCAAGATTCTATATTATCATTCTAAAATCGAAAGACAACATATCCTTGTAGTGGCTCAGAGAGGCGATTCCAGTAGCTTCCGATAACCCAGAGAATGAAAAACGCTGTCAAAATGTCCAACAGCAACGTCGCTGAGAGCTTCTCACCAAGTTGCCGGAGCAGTCCCAAAGCTGAGGCATCCTTTCGTGGAAGGATTTTTTGTTCGGCCGACTCCTGCACTGGGTGCTGCTCTTGCAGGTTCTGTAGTGAACGCCGCCCATATTTCTGAATCAAAGAATGCCCTCGATTTTCTTCCAGTGAACTTTCAACAGCAGCCGCAATGTCCTTCATACCATTCAAATGCTTTCGAGTTGAGAGCTTGGATAGAACAACGCAACCCACCCGCTGCAATTCGGTGTGGTTCTTGTTCGCTGTCATGGTTTCGGCCACGACGGATGCTACACCCACAAATCCGAGGCCTGCAGCCTCTTTGGTGCTGCCTCCTAAGAGGTTCATGAATGTTTTCAGAGCCAAACCCTGAATGGATACATTCCCAGGGTGTCTCTTCATCGCTGACACGATGCTTTGAACAATCTTTGGAGAAGCCAGCTGTAAAGAGCCGGGACAAGAGCGGCTGAGACATTGAATGGCTCTCACTGCGCCCTCCTGGACGGAAGCACTTTCGATGTGGCGTCTCATGCCCTCGTGGAGTTGATCCACTATCGAAGTGTTCCCGACGAAACAGCGCCCGCCAGAGGCGGCCGCAACCGTTGCAAGGTCAGAGAACAGTTTTGCCAAGCCGACGCTTTGATCTTGTAGCGCAAAAATCGAAGAGGACAGCACTCGTGGGACTTCGGCAGGGGCTGGTCTCTTGGAGTATAACGCTGCTAGGACGCTGCTTCCCAGAACTTGGATACTGTCGTTGTCTCGAAGAGCTTTCATGGCAGCACAAACGACTCGCAAAGCTCCACATGAAGAATCCTGCCCTTGGGCTGCCAGCCGAGCCAGCAACCTCATCCCATACTCAACAACCTGTTGATCGTCTCCATTCGTTTGCATTGCAGTCAGGACGGGGCCCCGCGCAGCCAGCAGCGCTTCATCGTGCTGGCCATCAGCTAGTGTCGCCAGCAGCATGCAGCAACGAGATTGAAGGCGCCTAGTAGACTTCTTGTTCTTCATGGCGAGCGCAACTGCTTCGAAGCCCCCACTGGTGCTGATTTCGGCTGCATAATGCAAATCATTCGCCAAAGCCCAAAGAGCATCACAGCAAGCAGCTTGCAAGCGGACGCAGGTCTGATGGCGGCTCATAACATGCAACAAAGCCTTGATCGCGCCGGCTTTAACTGCAATTGGAGCAACTTCAGATGACAAGCAAACGTTGTGAAGAACAAAAGCAGCCAATTCAAGGATCTTGACATCGTTGTTCGGCCCATTCATCATCCGAACCAATTTTGGAATCAAACCAGCCCGAACAAGAGCTGAGGGTGATCCCGCAGACAAATTTAGCAGCATCATGTAGCGGCCTTCCATGTTGCTTCCATCTAGGATCAGATCGCTGGTGAAATCAATCAAAACACAAATTTCTTCAGTGCTGACGACTGCAACACAATTCGCCAATACTTTGTTCCCCAGTTCTTGGACTTCCCATGCTCCCTTGCATCTCCTCATGGCCCCGATTGACGCTCTTACGATGACTTCGCAGAGTGGAAGGGGCTCAGTGCTGTGCTTTTGACAGCAGATAGTATAGTAATGAAGGGCCCGACAACCGATGACTTGGATATCAACGTCTGCTGGGTGATTGTCCAACGCAGCTACCACAGCAGAAATGCACGCCTCAAGATTGTCCCGTAAGCTCTGGTTGCTCTCTTCGTTCGTTTTGCCAACAGCACCAGCTGCCCAAATGTTCGCCAAAGCAACGCATCCGTTCTTCTGGACTCCAGATTCTTTTGAATGCTTCGTCATGGCGGCCACAATTGTAGCGCATCCTTTGGCTTGACGAATCTCTGTGGACTTTCCCGCGTTGATCGCAAGACTCGCCAGGACGATGCACCCGTTCATTTGGATGGATGCGTGTTCAAGACCATCGTTCATCGCTTTAATTACTGGGCGGATTGCCTGCGCTTTGGCAATAGCGGCACAAACCGACTTCCCGGTGTTGTCTTGCTCCGGAATCTTTGGAACAAGAGCGACGATCTTTTGGACGTATGGGTTTTTGTTGCGATCGTTTATCAAAGTAAAAACTTGGTCATCCAGATGGTTTGTCCAATCTCCTGCAACCTCACTAAGAACGGCGGTAGAACCATCGTCAAGCAGCTTCTCGAAGGTGGCTTTCACTGCAATCTCAGTTTTTCCAAACTCAGCCATTGCAAGAGTTGCGATCATCTCAACTCCCTTTGCTTGAATCCGTTTGTCAGCTGTATCCTTCATTGCAACCACAATGTCGTCGATGATCTCTGCAGCTTCCAAAGGATCAGAGGGAGCCAAGAAAAGGAGAAGTTCCAAGGCGATTGAGGCAATTGGACGAAAATTTTGGTGTGTTTTCAAGCTCACAGCAATCTCTCTCATGCTGGCTTCTCCCAAGAGTTCAATGGGACCGACATGTGCAAGTCGTAGCAACGTCTGCAAAGCGCGTTGCTGTATTCCAACATGATCCTTGTGAGTCTCCAAAGCATCACACAGCGATGCCACGACTTGATGCCACGAAAGTGAAGGCTTGCAGCTCTTGGAGAGCAACTCGAGAGCTCCACAGGCGCATTCTTGAATGGCCTCGTGCTCTGTGTTCAGAAGCATTGCAAAATGAATTGCGGACACGCCGTCCGCCTTGATGATCATGTGCCGATTGGCCCGTTCCAAGGCCAGCTGCTTCAAGACCTGGCATCCTATCAATTGCGTCCGAGGATTTTGATGATTTTCCCACATGATCGATACAACTGTTGCCGGTATCGAGCGCCGATTCAAATGTGTAGCCTTTCGTAGCTTGACATTGACAGTATCCAAAATGTCGGTAACTCCCGTTGATTCACTCGAGGTAGAGGTGGTTATTGTAGAGCACACGGAAGATTCGTAGTAGTCGAACTCCGTGACCTCGATTGAAGAGTCGGACGCTACACTCGTCAGGTTCGTCATCACCGAGTCGTCGTCACTGTACTCAGAGTAAGATGCGGAAGAAGTGGCCGTGCCCCATGATGAATCGTTGCTGGAAGACTGCGCTACAGGCTCTCTGCGAAAGACCATGGTTACTCGACTCAACAGAGCGACGTTACAATCGATTTGGTGTTGTCGCTTTGAGCTTCCTCGATTGTTATTATGATGGAAGGCAGCTGCAATTTTGTTGAGCAAACGTGGAAGCGAGAATACACAACGACAGGTACGTGCTGTTTCTCTTTTTCGCTACTGGCTGCATCCACTACTCTGTTGCAACGAAAGTTTTCGACGCCTTTCTGTTACTATTTCTATTTCTACATGTACTGTCCCCTTGTCTGCCACACGAAAGGTTTCGACATCTTTGGACAGCGAACTGTTTCGATCGCACCTTGTCGTTAACGAAAGCTCCCTTCGTTTCAGTTATCGGTACCGGTACGGTACGTTTTGCGGCAAGGTCAACCGTGTTCGACAAGCCAGCAAAACGGCTAAAAAGTCCCAAAAAATGAGTACCAGGGTCGTCAATAGCTCCAAAAAAAAAACTCACCACATTTGACGCGACAGGCTGAGACTACTCGTCACCATTTGCGGCCTGTTCATGTTGGGCCTACAATCTTCGATTCAGCATGATGCCAACACCTGATTTGAGTAAGAAACCAGCATGAGTTTTCTTCTAGACCGTAACTAAAGTACATGGAATTCTAGACACGCTACTTCACCACGCAGCCTGCCACACATAGATTGTCACATCACGGTTGGTACGGTAGCTATCCAGATCAATCCAGTGGCCAGTTCAAATGGCAGATCCATACTCTCGATTGGCAACTATACCAAAGCCATTCGTCCATCATGCCAATATTTACAATGTTGTTTCTTTTCGGCATCATCGCGCCCTGGTTGATCAAGAATCCCGGTCTCAAGCGACATTCACATATCAATTCTAAGGCTCCTCATTGAGCTTGTTCAACTCGACCAACTTGGCGATACAGTTTGCTGCGTCCATATCTTCCAGAGCATCAAAGACACTACCCTCCGAGCCATCCGGTTGCTTAACGCGTGGGTCCACAGACCATAGCTCAATAGTTTTCTTGGAAAGTCCCGAATCCAGCAATGCTTTGCCAAAGGTGTCACCCTCAATGGATTTGCCCAGCCAGTTCTAAACATTGCCGACATCATTGGATGCAGCAAACGAGATGAGAAGACTTTCCACAAAACTTTCACCAAAACATATCCGGGGTAGATTGATTGATTGATTGGATCTGACTTACAACTTTCTCGGCCAATCCTTCAAACGGAGAAGCCGAAGCATGGACTCCGTTATCTCCTTGATTGGGTTCTGCTGACAGTCCTAGTGATTTGTACCTGGTCAAAATTTCCTTTCTCAGACTACCATTGGGAGCGTTGGCAGGGTCAGTGGGTCCAAGGAATTTCCCACGAAAATCACTCCAACTCATTGTGCTGGATGGCCATTCCACTTCAAAGTAATAAATACTGGCATCGCCAACAAACTTGCTGCGCATGGCTGTGGCAGGAGAAGGGGATGAGGTGGGACCCATACATCATGGCTCCTTGGGTAGCTTTCCTATGATGTGTACGGGTACTTACACATAAAAAATGCATTGAACACGTAGAGTTTCTTTTCTTTCATTTCCATCAAACCACAATAGAACCCTCCACCAAATTTCTCGACCTTGGCCTTTCTCCATGCCTCTTCCAGTTGCTCGGCAGTACATTCAAATTGTTGAGTAGCCTCCATGGCATTACAGGCACGACCTTCTGCCAAGACTTTGTCCCATGATTCTCCAAAGGCTTGTTCAAATTTTTCAGTGGGGACGGGGCTGGAATTGCCGGGGTGAAAAAAGGGGGAAAACATATGAGAGGACGGAGAACGAGGCGTCATTGGTTCTGTACCAGACAACATACATTTCTTTGGGTGTCAGAATGGTAGCCTTGGAAGCAATGGCATAGTAATGCTGATCAATCAGTTTATCCTTGTCAATCACGGATCCAGCAATCTCATTTTCCGACAAGATGCTGAATCCAGCTCCCTTTAGCTTTTCCCTGACCAATGATTGGGTAGCAGGGGTGTTCGCGTGGGGTTTCACAAACACAAAAGCCGAGTTGGGCAAAGAAGAAGGAGCGCAAACTCCTGTCATGGCCGGATCACAAGTCTCGGCGGCTTTGGCAAACACAGCTCCCATGGTGGATGATTGAAAGTGCTAATGCTCTTGAGGAATCTTGCAACAGAGCTTGGTTGTGGTTGTGGTACCGATGCATGTGAAAAGTGCGGGGTACAGGTCGTATCCCGTGAAACCAAACAGATGCTTAGTTGGTCCTGAGGATGACGTCAGAAAGATCGCCAAATTGATGGCCTTGCGTGCAGGTTTCATGGCCAACTTGCTCTCCAATGGGGATCGAGGTGCAACGGCATTCCAAGCACTGATAACCTGTTATTATTACCATCGCCAGACAGCATGAGCGTACTCTAGTCCAAGTCTAAATTGGGCTTAGCATTGTTTTCTAGGCCATGGGCCATGGGCAGTTTCTGTTCTGACTTCTTCGTCCAAAGACCTAGGCTGTGACATTCCCAGAAATCAACACCAGCTTGCTTTTCTGAAGTCCTGAGGCGACGTGGCATCATCGTCAGTCCACAAACCAATTGGGCTGCCGCTTGCTACCAGTTGTTTGAAGGCTGAACCAGTATCCACACCGTATTAGTAGCCCCCCAACCTGAGTCGATTCGAGTCTGCGGTTCCAGCGTAAGAAAAGAGCCGCTAGCTTGACAGATCTAGATCTTTCGAAGCGATGAGCAGTACTACGCTATCTTGGGTGCACATTGCCAATTGGACTTGTGTCTGACTGTGGGATAAGATGCCAAGCAACTTTGCAGCCGCCAACAGCGAATTGCCCTCCGTCCAGCTCTTGGTCTTGAAATCGTGACCTCCTTGAGCCTTGGGCCACCAACCAACATGGCTGCCCCTGGCGTCTTTGGTAGATTTCTTCCCTACTGTACCACGCACTTACTGCACCGGTGCAGGTGGTTTGGAACAACGAATTCGAAGGCTTCGACAAAATAATTATTATTAATTTGAAGGCAATTGTGTTGCAACGTTGGAACGTTGGAACTTCGCAACTTCGTCTGAGCTTCGAAGACCAAAGAACGCTAATACTGATAACTGGGAAGGAGTTATGCAAGGATAGACGACTTTAGAATGTCGTTATGGGTAAGTCATTCTTATGCACGATGTCGCCAGCAACAGAAGTGCTTGTGTTGATCGAGGAATCTGGAGCAAACAAAGACAGTCTATGCAGGCATTGTGGCAGACCTTCTTCCCTCTGCCCAGTCTCTTCTTGAAACTCTGAACTACCGGTACCGGTACGACTGTACGTCTGATTGAAGATAGCTTTGAAGATTGAAGTTGTCAATAATTAGCTCATGGCCTACTAAACCAAAGCAAGACTGGTTTGGACGCTTGGCTTGGATGCGTGATCCACGTGCTTTAAAAGCTTGATAAAGGATGGACCCTATTTCCTTTCTAAAAGGCACATTCACGAAGTCGATTTATGGTGGGCCACGAAATGACTTTTTAGTTCTTTTCCTTGGTGACCTTCTTATAAGAAGACAAGTAAGTAGTCTAAGTTCATTTTCCAATGCGGGGCAGTGGTGCTCTCAGGTACTCTAGAGTACGACGACATCAGATTCTTTCTTGCATCTTCAAAGTGAGAGATGACCCACCAAAGCTCCCACCAATAATGCTGTACGAGTACCGGTACCGCGTACAGTCGTACTCTATTACATCCAGGACCTCTGTGGAAACGTCATTCGTGGCAAAATACTTAAGAGACGATACACCGAGGAATAGGAGACGATCCAAATGATTTAAGAGACGAAAGCAATCGTCTCCTATATTTAGGAGACGATTCAGTAGGAGACATTCCAATTAGGAGACGAAAATTTCGAAATAGGAGATGATCCGAAAGCTTTAGGAGACGATACCATACAGTTTACATGGTACACTTAGGAGACGATCCGTTGAGAATAGGAGACGATCCGTTGAAAATAGGAGACGTTTTAAGAGGAGACAAAAGATGAGACGAAATCCATTAAATAGGAGACGATCAAAAGGATTTAGGAGACGAAAAGTAGCACGACTCGAGTTTCCACAGAGGTCCAGTATGTCCTTCCTTTACCTTTAAAAAATCTGTGACCTTTGTGACCTATGATGGAACCGCATCATCTACTGTATCTCCAATGCTGTGCACTGTGCAGCTGCTGTGCTTGGAACAGCGAAGCCAAAAGAATCCGGCCTCGGTCACCTTTTGCTGCAAGCTAGACTAATGCTGTGACATGCCTGGTTTCTACTCAGTCAGTAAACAACTTCAGGGGCGCGGAGATCGAGAGAGCCATTCAAGCCAAAAGAAGCACAACCAACAGTCACTTTTGCTGCTGGAGATTAGATTTGGAGGGATCACAATTCACAATCTTCCAAATCCAACAACGGCAAGGACATTCTTGCAAGAAAGAAGAGATCAGATCTGAATCCAACTTTGACCATGGGCCACCAACCAGGAGCCGTCGCCAAGAGGGGATCCAACTCGGGATGCTCTGCCATCCAATCTGGAACCCTCGCCTACATGTCCCTATATCCCAAGGATTCCACAGATGGAGGTAAGTGGGTTTTGTCTTCCGTTCTTCCTCCCATGCTGTTCCTTTCTATCACGGGCCTAACTCTGCGCTTTCTCTTGTCTTGATATCACCAGTCCTTCGCCTTGGCAACATTGTACCTGACTTTGAGGCCGACACAACCAAAGGACACATGAGGTTCCACAAGTGGAAACAGGGCAAATGGGCCATTCTGTTCTCTCATCCGGCTGACTTCACTCCAGTTTGTACCACCGAGATTGCCAGTTTGGCGACCAAGTATGCCGAGCTGGTCGATATGGACTGCAAGGTGGCGACCCTCTCGGTAGACCCTGTCACGGCACATGATGAATGGCTCAAGGACGTCATTGCCCAACATACGGACGGCAAGATCTCCATTGACTTTCCCATTATCGCTGATCCCAACAGAGATATCAGTACCGCCTACGGTATGATTGACCCGTGGAGCTCGGACCGACAAGACCTGCCCTTGACGATTCGTTGCGTCTTCATTATCAACCCTGAAAACAAGCTCATGCTCAGTCTCAACTACCCCGCCTGTGTGGGTCGCAACATGACCGAGATTGTTCGATGTGTCAAGGCGTTGCAGCTGAGTTATCAAAAGTCTGTTGCGACTCCCGCCAACTGGCCTGACAACCACTCCGAAGTGGTCATGCCGGATGGCACAACCTCCAAGGAGTACAAGGGCTCTGTGTTTCTGCTTCCCACTGTTACGGACAAAGAAGCCGACAAGTACTATCCTGGATATTACACAAGCCCCGTGCCTTCGGAGATTCCATATCTGCGTCTTGTCAAACCAGAACAGGTCGGCTTGGCGCCCACCAACAAGAAGGGCGTGGAAACCAAGTCGGGCAAAGAAAAGCACTATGGGGCCTTTTCGTGGTTTTCCAAGAAGAATACAAGCAAGCACCGAATGAAGGTGAATGCCGTGAAAGCGGCAGCATAAGTTTGTGGGTACAGCTTGTTCATAGTGAATCTTAGGATAGGATATGCATCAAAGGCATAACAGTATATACGGTAAGCTACTTCATTTGTTCTCAAATCAGATGTCAGTATACCTAGCTATCACATAAGACAGCAACGGAGCAGCGCTTTGGCGAGTAGGATTGTTGTCTCAACACACACTATAGCATGCATCGTAACTTCTTTTGTCTTGTTCTATTCTATTTCTAGTTACTGTTTCTACCCATGCGCATTCACAGCTGCTCCTGAGTCGCAGTCTTCCTTAGGGGTTCATATCCGAAGGACCCCCCACCATGCCATTGTGAGAAGGTGCAGCCACAACTGTATTGAAAGGAGCCACCAGAGAGTCGAAAACCTGGCTGATGACGCATTCGAAACCAGAATCCTGGTCCTCCAAGGTGGCAGTGGCTAGCACAGTGATGCGCTTGGGATCTTCAACGGTACTGATTTCCTGAGACCAGGAATTGTGGATGGGGGTGGAAGGGGCTGCATTACGAGCAGTTCCCATGACACGCATGTCCTCAAAAACAGGAAAGTTGGTGGAAATAGTACTTCTCTTCAACTGCCAGCTTTTGTTGGTCAATGTTCTGACTTTGACATCCAGGGTGGCTTCTGTTTGGTCCACACCAGTTCTTGCAGTGTTGGCGTCAAAGTCACAATCCCTGCAAGTAATTTCCATAGCAAGCTCCTGGTCACAGTTGATCCTGGGGCCAAGGGCTGGGTTGGCATACTGGATGTTTGGGTTGAACTGGTTTAGATTTCTTTCAGCGCCCCTGAGTGCAGCAGAGCAACTGGAACTGGAGAGGGCAAGGAAGGCAGCCATCATGGTGGATTTCATACTGGCGGTGAACATTTTGCTTTGTGTTTTGTTGTTTTGTTTTGTTGTTTTGCTTTGTGTTTAGCTTGAAATTGATTTGTGAGGACTCTAAACAACCACCTTCATCCTTCAAAAGGCCAAAGTTGGCAGTCTGGGCAGATCTTGTGCTTGGTCCTGTCTTGACTCCACTGGGTCCCGTCCCAACAAGACTTGTTGTGCGACAAGAGCACAAGAAGCCGATGGCGCTTGGGCAGAATGTTAAAGAAGCCAGCTACACTGGGTAAATGGATCAAAATTTTGAAATCTTTCGCATGAGGCTGACGAAAAAATTCTGTCACTCAAACTGTTCCTCTGTTCCCTTGGCTTCATGGTACCTGCCTACAACTTTGTCTCTGTTCCAATGTACGGCTCCGCATGAGCGACACTATGCTGCCATGCAAGTGGTCTTCAATGTGCATCTTCATACCTCAACGCAACCCCTCTTCTTCGGCTCCTGTATCCGCAACTCTACGTGGAATCAATGCCGGTACCGTGAGTACCAATTTGAATGGTCTAAAAATTGACTCCGAGGGGGTTTACATGACTACCGGTAGCAAGCTAGTAGTACTCGGCAACACAGCATGGCAAAACCAAGCATCCGTGGTAGAGCCAAGAATCTGTTAAACTCGGGGATCGTCCCAGAATACTTCCACAACAGCTCCTGTTCCAATTTACAGCTCCTCGCCGGTGACACTACTGCCGCCATGCGACAGGTCTCCAATATCCACTCCAGCATCTCTCACAGGGTCCCAATAAGCACCCAAGGGAGCACCCTTAATGGCAGAGATGCTCTCCACTTCTTCGGGTGTCAATGCAAAGTCGAGAATGGCCCAGTTTTGTTCCAGCCGTTGTTTGGAACTGGCCGATTTGGGAATGACCGCCACGCCAATTTCGAGTCCCCATCGGAGCAGTATCTGTGGCACTGTCTTTTGATACTTTTCGGCCACCGATTGCAATACGGGATCTTGGTAACGTTCGTGGAACCCAAAAAACAAGGATCCATAGGCAGTAATGGCAATGTTGTGTTGTTTGCAATATTCCACCAATTCTTTGCGTTCTTGATAGTTGAGTGGATGCAATTCGATTTGATTGACTGCGGGAGTCGGACGTCCGTGTTCTCGCAGCGCTTCCAAATGTTGGATTCCAAAGTTGCTGACTCCAATAGATTTGACCTTGCCCTGTTTTTGCAGCTCCACCATGGCATCCCACGTCTCTACCAGTTTGGCCCCATAGGGAGAATGAATCAAGAGTAAATCCACGTACGATGTTTGGAGCTTTTGCAAACTCAAGTCGGTGGCAGCCATGGCATTTTGATAGCCGTGCGATCCCGCGGCCAATTTGGTAGTGATAAAGATTTGGTCACGGGGAATGCCCGAATCGACAATGGCTCTTCCCACATCGGCTTCGTTCTGGTACACGTCGGCGGTATCAATGAGACGGTATCCCACTTCCAACCCCCAACGGACGGATTGGTAGCATTCCTGACCTGGAGCGGCCATGTGAACACCCATGCCCACTTGCGCCATGTGATTGCCATCGTTCAAGGGCATCAATGCAGGATTGGCGTGTGCCATGGCCAGCACTGCTGCCGTAAGAGCCAAGAGGACTCGAGAGAACTTTCCCATAGCTTTGATCTGGCCGTTGTATGAAGTAGAGGTCTGGGTATTAACTATAACAAGGAGCTTAGTAGAATTCTTCTGTGTGTGAGCTAGAAATGGCCCAACAGCGAGAATTCTCCCTGTTGCCAACACGCAATCTTTCCCGTGGAAGATCTTGGAGAGCTCCCTCCAGCCCCCAGACAGGTCCTTCAAAAAAGAAACGGTCAGACGCTGGGGTTCTCAACAAGCATTCTCCCTGTTGGGCCCATTCTCCCTGTTGGGCGATTCCTAGTGAGAGCCGGAGAGTTGAGAAGCCCCGAAACAAAGACAATGAGAAAGATCTTGCAAACCAAAAGATCCATCTTCATCAAAGCCTTAACCCTAACGGTTTTTCAAAACATCAAAACCGTCTCCGTTCGCGGCGCACCGCTGTTTTCTCGTTTCTCATTTCTTCGTAGCAAACTCATCCGTTTAGCGAGGGATCTAGTTCCTGCCTACTAGCTAGTGGGAAACTAACCAGGAAAGGCCAAGAGATCATTCCATGGGTGTGACCACGCCTCTTTATCTCAAGATTTGAGGAGTTCATTATTTCGATCGTTATTACCGCCAGGCTGATCGAGAAAGGATGCAATGGATCGAAGAAGCACCCACTCCCAACGAAGACGATGTGAGGAACCCCGTGGGGGTCAGAGTCACCTTTCTGGCCAGCAGTATGAGAGTGCTTACCAATGATGATGGCGACACACTCAGAAGACAAAACTGGTATCTAAAGAATAATGGCAACTGGAGGCAGCAAGAACAACAGCAGCAGCCCGATCAAGACGACCCGGAAGATCCCAGGGTAGAACGTGCCCTCCACGAAGAGGAATCTGCCTCTGTGCCACCCAAGATTCGAGCGGCACGGATGCTGTTTCTAGTAGCCTGCCTGGTGATTATTGGAGCGGCAGTGACCGTGGGTATAATGTGTGGTGTCGGTACCATTTGCAATGCCGGTAGCAATGACAGTGAAAGTGAAACATCCGATCATACTGACACGGTGATTATACCAGGACAAGTGATACCACAAAGTCCCACATCAACAGCAACTACAGCAACCACCAATAGCCCCAGCACGGCTGTTTCAGCAGTGGAGAGTGAACCATCAGCTGCCCCACACGATGGGAATACCGAGACCCAAGCACCAACTATTTCAGAACATTCCCCTTCAGCAGATCCAAGCACTCCTCTTGCCATTATCGATTTGCCAATATTTTCCCAAGAGAGCACAGGTGCGAGCATAGGTGTTGTTGATCTCGTATTTGGTAGTGAAGGAGGCGGCAGCTCCGGACAGAACTCAACATCAGCAGAGACAACAGGTAACCAAACGATACCTGAGGGAGATGGCTCATCAAATCTATATGAATTTGAAACAATCTTGGACGACTCGGAAGCAGCAACACTAGATCCATCCATCGAAGAAACGCTTGTGACTGATTTCGAGGTCACAGTCGTAGATACAGCGTCGGGGCTACCGACTGCAGAACCAACCATCCAACCCACGGCAGAACCAACCAAACAAGCAAAGGGAGGAAAAGATAAAGAAGAAGACAAGGACCAACCAGAGCCAGATTCGGCTCTCCCGCCAACATTCTTGCCGACATTTGAGCCTAGTGCACCACCGCAAACCGATACACCAACCTTCATGCCGTCACTTCCAAAGACGCCAACAACTGGACCGTTAGTCTTTGCTGAAGCCGGTACCAGAATACCCACCGCCGAAAATAATGAAGAGCTACAAATCGAGGGCCCAGCAATGATCTTGTCTGATAATGAGCTGGTAATGCTGTCGGTGACCATTGGGTTCACGGGAGTGCAAATGCCAGTACCCGACTACACAGTGGCGGCATTGTTAAAGCCTTCCTCACCCCAGTCTCGAGCTTTGCAATGGATGTCAGCGACCTACACAGCCAGCGACCTTGTGCGAATGCCAGCATGGAGGATGCAACAAATATTCGCATTGGCGGTAGTGTACTATTCCCTAGAAGCAGACACTTGGGAAGACATGCACAGGCATAACTGGCTCAATGCTTCTCTACACGAATGCGAGTGGGCCCCTAGGACTCCTAGACCCGATTGGATTGGATATATCCCACAAATATATTGTGTCGACGAAAGTGACAGAGTCTCAAGTCTCAACTTTTACGATGTTCCCTATCTGGATGGTGTCTTTCCACCAGAACTGGAGCTTTTGTCCTCTCTGGAGAGTGTGAGGTCTTCAAAGACACTCTTGGATGGAAAGCTTGAAGCGGTGCTTCCATGGCAACAGCTGCAGCGGTTGGAAAACTTGACGGAAATTAGATTAGGCAACAGCTTCTTGACTTCCACCATACCTTTAGAGGTATCCAGATTGACAAAATTGACCCACCTGGACTTTTTTGACAATGAACTGGTTGGAACGCTTCATAGCGAGATTGGACTCTTACGCCGGCTGAAAGCGCTTCGAGTGCCATACAACAATCTAACTGGCACGATCCCTTCGGAGCTGGGGATGACAAAGCTTACAACGTTGGATCTTGCAGGTAAGTGAAAGTGAAAAATCCTGTGTCTCGCCGATGAGGCATCATCATGAGGTGGTCGTGAGATGGCAGCCCCTCACACAGCTCCTTTTCCTGCGTCTCTTAGGCAACAACTTCTCCGGAGAAATTCCTACCGAACTTGCGCTATTGACGGACCTGCATGCACTGTACCTGGAGTTGAATACACTTTCAGAAGTGTTTCCGTTTGTCCCGGAGTCTGTTTGCAAGATCCGGTCGTTGAAGGAGCTTTGGGTCGATTGCTACAATGGCAATGCCACTTGTGCAGCTGACTGCGACTGCTTTTGTTTCTCGCAAATAGTACCATAGACTATGTGGAAGGTTTGTGTATTTGAGCACGGCTAAGATATTTAGTCTACTAGAAATTTTGCTGACTAGACCAATTGGAAGCCTCATCTCAGCGGATGTGCAAAAATAAGGATACCTGGTAATGTGACAGCTTGCCATTATGATATGAATGCATTGTTTGCCAACAACCAGCTGTGCTTCTGTTGAAAAAGGTATCCCAAATCAGCTATTGGCATGCTGGGTATCCGTCTCTTTCATGCTGCGTTGAAGTGAAGCCCTTCACTCATTATTCAATCAGCTTCTGCTGGTGGGGAAGAATGGTCGCACAATGGCTGCTACAGCATGAGTCTCCAGGGAGCCATTGGCATCTTACCTTTAGTGTGGAAATTGACTCCATCTGGGACAGCGGGACAGCATTGCTTTGGAACACATGGTCCAGAGAAAGTTGTCATTGGAGAAGGATATTCCACGAACCATTGCCAGCTTATTGCCACCATCATAGTTTAACCCAGCCACAGTTTGGTGTGAGAGTGCTCAGCTGCATCTCATCAAAGCAACAATTCATATAGGCGATTGCTGGCTTGTGGCGTCATGGAAGCATCAGCAAGAGCCATCCAATCATCCAACCCTACTGAGTACATCCTTAATTAAAGTCTGTGCAAAATACCCAGGCCTCCTACTAAGAATACTGCAAGGCAACCCGGAGAAATCAGCCCGAGCCCTCAAGAAGGCAAATCTATTTGAAAATGAAAGCCAAGAACCTCCCTAAATTCTATGATACTGATATTGTCGCACATGCAGGAAGGACTTTCACAACATGCCAAAAGTAGACGCGGCAGGAGCACCAATCAATTTAAATTGAACCTCACGACAGGGAGGAAGATATCTCCACCCACTTATCAATTGACCTAGTTGGACACTCTCCTACGATCACAAACGCAAGGCAATTTTAAAAAAGTTGGCGTGCGCAGTAAACATACACCATGCCCGAGAAAGTTGGTTTGTGGAGGGCAGTCCTCATTGCCCTGAAGAGATCATTTTCAACCCAGTGGGTTGGCATCCGGGGATAGCTTCCATTCAGGAACTTTCCCTTTGCGGTCAAACGAAATCGAAGGTTAATGCCAGCATCCTCCTGCTTATTAAAAGCTTTTGTGTTTGCAACATCAGCTGAAAAAGGCATGTTGTTGTTGTTCTTTGTTGGCCTTTCTTGCTCGTTTCTGGCTACCGGAGCTACCGGCTAGCGGTACCGGTAGCTTTCTATCGTACACTGTACAGTAGTCTAGTCTTAGCCGCTGTGTCAGTGTGTCAGTCCCAGCTGGTGACGCTGGCCGACACTTTCAAAAGCACAGGCCATCCCACATTTTCGGAAAACCCCCTCACGCCAGGGTACAGTAGCGCGATACATCAATGGCAAATCCTGCATTGAAGGATCCAATCCAGTGAGAGGTGGACCGCATCAAGGATCGAAGATTTGCTCACTATTTTTGATCGATCAATCAATCAATCAATCACTGCCAACCTACTAGCTACCGTACCTGACGATCAGACCACCATGAAAATCTCCGCAGTCGTTCTTTTGCTCGTGACCCTTGCTGGTGGTTTCGACGCGTCTACCGCGACCGAAAGCAAGCTTCGTGGAGGAGAGCGCCTCCTCTTTGATGACGTTGCCGGTTCCTGTCTCTCTTCGGGAGCATTTTGTACCTCCGGTGATGATTGCTGCAACCAGTGCATCTGCACAAGACGCTGCCGATGCACATGATCATCGTTTCTTGTGCCGGCAAAGAACAACAGTGTGAACTAACACCCTCAATTCAAGTCAATTCAAGGCACATATGTTGTGTACCACTGCCATGTTTGTTTGCTGGCCGCAGTCGATCTTTACCTGGTGTAATGGCGTTAATGATGGCTTTAATGAACCGTAACTCTTGATTAAACTAAAAGCTAAGTTATTCCCAATGCGCGAAGGTTTCCACAATCGTAGTTCTCGTGCTGATGCCGCTTGCTACTGGAATTTAAAAGGGTGCCAGAGCTGCGGAACGGCTAGGGCAAAAGCCGATCAACAGAAAGAAGCAGCGCAACATAGGGCAGTCACGGAGAAAAACTCGACGAGAGAGACGTAAAAGGGCAGCAAGCTAGCAATGCAGGGAATGTAGCTGTTTGCTGTACTAGCTAGAAACTGTTCATCAATAGTTTTGCCTACTACTAGTCTAGCTAGTAAAATTTAAAGAGCTGGAAGGCCATGCTTTGGGCTGGTGTCAAAACGTCAAGACCTTTGGGTTTGGATTTTGGATCTTCCATTTTCAGTTTTTTTTTAAAAGCTATTTTGATGTGACAGCTCACGCTGGCTTCATTTTGATTGCCTAGATAGCCACCGGTGACGGTGCCACCATGTCACCCCATGACTGCTGCCAACAGCCGACAAGCACAATAATTTTGGGCGTCGCCCACTCTTCTAATAAGCATCCAGTAATCCCGACCATAGAGTTAGATACCATTGGGTCGAAGTAGTGGAATTACACAAGTTATCAACAATGAGCGACGAGAATAAGAAGGAAGATGACAATGGGAAGGAGAGCGAAGTGGATATCCCCGACTTTAGGCCTCCACCAGCCTTGGATTTGGATTTGCGTTTGGGGGTGGCGGCCATTATGAAGAAGCTACAGCTCAATTTGGAATGTGATGGTGTCTTGCTGAGAAACTGTGATTCGAATACGGGTTACATGGCCAAGAATTTCGACACACTAGAGGGAATGCAAGAACTGCTGGCGATTTTCGAAGCAGTAGCCTTGCTCCCCAAGTTGACCAATTTCCAAGTACACTTTGCCCGTGGAGCATCTCCCGACAAGCCTCATCGATTGCCATCGCAACTGCTGAGTATGGTGATTAATCAATGTCTCGATTTGACGTATGTGAGATTTCAAGGAATCATGATGTCGGATGCCAATGGCAAGTACGAAGGATTGGCCAATTCACTGCGGATGCATCCAAGTTTGATACGCATTCATTTCATTGTCTGCGCGCCTGAAGAGGGATTGACATTGGATCCACTCTTGGCTGCATTGCCGGGGATTCCCACGTTGCAAGAAGTAGACCTCGTCGACTCGACCATGACGAGTCCTTCCAAAAAGAAAGTGTGGACGGGAGATACACTGCTCCATCTGGCCCTCTCGAAAAACTTGTCCAAAATTCGATTGAGTTGTATTCGACATTTGCTCGATACACACATGCAGGCGATGTAAGTCATGTCAGCATACTCTAGACTAGCTAGCTAGTGGATGGGCGGAGCTTATCTCAGGTGTCTATTCTCCATTTTTGTGTTCTGCCGTTTGACAGGGCTCTTGCACATGAAAAGAGTGATACCCTCCGTGTGCTTGTCATTGAAGGAGAAGATGATGAGGATTCTGAGTTCAACGAGGACGAAGACGATTTGTACAAGGACGATGTTCCAGCCGAAACCGAGGAGGAAAAGAAGAAGAAGGAAAAGAAAGAAAAGAAGAAGAAGAAGAAAAAAGAACTCGTCAACAAGAAAAAGTCCATTAAGGAATCAGACAATCCCACCAACAGGGAAGAAAAGAAGAAAAGCAAAAAGGACAAGAAAAAGGAAAAGAAGTCTAAATCAGACTGGTCTTCGGCAACAGCACCCAATGGAAACACCTACTACTACAACAAAAAGACGGGGGAAACAACATGGACCAAACCACCCGATTTATAGAGTGAGGAGAGACAACAATACATTCTTACCATGTCTTGCTTGTTGTTAGCTTGGTTTCCTGGCTGTACTTCTTCCTTATAACGGAGTGAGGAATCAGAATGAAGATGACAATGTGATTGGCACTTTTGATAGAGACACTGATTGGAAAAAGAAGGTGTTCTCGGTGGGGTAGGCCATGGAGGATGGGATCATCAAGCAATTCTCCTCCGCAATGGCAAGGGAAAAGGCAATACACGGGTACCTTCGAATGATCCAAGCTTGAAACCCTCAGAATCCTGTCTTCCTGTGGGAGAATCTTGTTCCGCTGAGGAGTGCTGCAACAAATGCGTCTGCACAACGCGCTACCGATGCACATGATCGTTTCTTGTTCCAGCAAAGAGCAATGAGTGAAATAGCACCCCCAATTCGGGAATATGTGTACCACTGCCATGTTTGTTTGTTTGTTCGCCTCAGTTGACCTGTACAGTACTATAATAATGGCCTGCTTGCTCGAATTTACACTAGTACCGGAGCTGCACTGTTTCGTACCCTAATGTATGCCTGGAGCCTCTCTCGGAGCAACCGTGGACCTTCTTTGGACCCCGGCCCTGATCATCTCCATGCCCAACTCCTGGAACCAAACAGCAGGACCCACTCCAGGCGAAACACCAGGTCCATCAAAAGGTGCTCGGACCAATATGACTGAAGCTCGCTCGCCCTGGCCGCATGCAGCCCCCTTACAATCTGAGATGTAAATCGATGGTACTGTACGGTACCTTGCACTAGTACCGACGGTACCGGTGTACATGCATGTTTATATTCGGAGAGGTTCGAGGCCTAATCGAAAATCGGTTTCGAATCAGGCAGAGAAAGGACAGGCAGCCGGAGGCTAGTGCCCTCAACTTGCATTTTTCTAAAAGCCAAGGAACGGAAGGGTTCTTTTTTGACCCATACCGGTAGCCTTAACCTTGCAAGGGAAACAGCACCATATGTATGCGACACTACCGGTAGCCTTAACCTTGCAAGGGAAACAGTACCATATGTACGCAAGGGAAACCGCACCATATGTATGCGACACTACCGGTAGACACTACCGGTAGCCTTAACCTTGCAAGAGAAACAGCACCATATGTATGCGACACTACCGGTAGCCTTAACCTTGCAAGGGAAACAGCACCATATGTACGCGACACACACACACACACACACACACACACACACACACACACACACACACACACACACAAGATAAAAGTTCAAAAGGCCCTCAGCTTGCTAGCTGGTATGATAGTTGAGGGCAATCTTTTGAACTGCCAAAACCTCATTTCATCGTCACAGGTCGGCACCACCACCCCATCTCCATCCCACTTTTATAATTAATAAATCACCATGATGCTGGCTACTTCGTCTGCTTTGTTGCAACGAGAAGCTCTTACACGTACGCTGCTGTTATCCCGAAGCCCGGCAGCAAGACGATCAAACGTGATCGTCACGGCTGCAAACTCTACTAGAAGTGTACGCTTTTCCTCCTCCGCCTTGCCATCCACCACCATGGGTGCTACTGCCAGCCGTCTTTTGGGTGCTGCCTTTATGGGTCTTTCCGGTTGTTGGTGGATATCATCGACACCTGTCCGATTGGAGCCAGCGGGAAGTCCACATACTCTGTTTGTGTGGGACTTTGATTGGACTGTCATTAATTGCAACTCGGACGAGTACATTCCAGCTCAATTTCTCGGCGACCAAGAAATGGAAAAGAGGCTTCGAGCTCTGTTTAAGGAATGCAAAGACTGGCACGTTTGCGTCGAGACTCTCGTCAATCAAGTCATGGACGAACAACGCTTGACACAAAAACAAGTGTTGTCGGCTGCAGGGAAAATGCCATATTTGACCGGTGTCCGGGCTGCCTTGGACAAAATTCATGACAAGCATAAACGGACGGGACAAATGATCCTGTCGGATGGCAATACAATCTTCATTGGGGCTTTCCTCCAAGACAATGGACTGACGGATCACTTTACTCATGGCATCATTACCAATGCCGGTTTGTGGATTGACAAGAGCGACGATGGAGCTAGCAAATCCTTGGACAAAAACAACAATAGCAAACGACTACAAGTGATTCACCAGAGCAAACAGTATGGCGGACATGACTGCGACGAATGTCCAAACAACCTATGCAAAACCCAGGCACTCTCGAAAGCTTTGGAGCAATTCAGCAGTGGGCCAACTATTGGTAGCAACATTATACCTACCGGTGCTACAACAAGCAGCAGCAGTAGTAGTAGACCAAGAATTGTCTACGTTGGAGATGGTAGCAATGATGCTTGTCCAGTGTTACATGTCCTACGAGAAGGCGATGTCATGTTGGCGAGGGTTGGAAACAGAAGAAAGTTTGCAAATGAACGGTCTGGCCCAGAAACAGATCATGAGGCAACAACGCCAGCAAAAGGTCAACCGCCAAAAGGACGCGGTGGTTCCTTTGGCGTTCTGCCAGCGCTTGTTCGTGCCAAGGAGGGAGACCCTCCCATTGTCCCAAAATGTCAAGTCTGGGAATGGACCACTGGAGATGAACTTAGCCAGTTTGTAGACAAGTTGTTGAGAGATGTAAAGTAGAGTTTGTTTTGACAGATGCTACTGTACCATAGCAAGAATACACATACCTGTGGGAGGAAGGCAAGGGGCTACTCGATGCTACCGTTCGAGTGAGGTTGATGATTGTCTGTTGTCTACCTAGGGTACAGTAAGAGCCTGAAAAGGGCTCTGGAACGACGAATGGAGGTAAGCTTTCAAAAACGATGTTTCAACGAGACTGATTTTTGTCTGTGAGCGCCAACCTGGCAAGCGTAGACACGAGCTCCATGGAACCATTGGATCGCATCAGGTGAATCAACACTTGGAATGCGGTCTGGTAGCGTTGTATCAATAGTAATCCACTCGCGTACTAGCTATGACGGCACCTGCACGTGCTTTTCGTCCTTCAGATGTTCGACTGTTGCAGCTGCAGAGATGCACAGAGATTCTTGGTAGCCCCGTCGTCTCCTGTTTGTCTGCTTTCACAGGTGACGAACCTTACAATACGCTACAGGTGCTTCGATGAAACCAAACAGAAAAAACTTCACTACTTTTTTACAACTGCTGCGACGTGAAAGCAGCACCCCTCATTGAAACGAAACACCCTTGAACAGTGGCCACCCGTTGACACATACGACACATACATCGCCACTGTCCCTTTTATCCGCCTCTCCTTGTTTGCTGTGGATTCCGAATGGTGCGGTAATCGCCACCATCCACGCCATACTCAATATCCGCTACGCTCTGACTTGCGTCATAATAAAAGCTCTTACGGGGCACGCCCTGTTTCTTCTTTGGCTTTGGTGGCCAGGCATCCCCCAGAGACTGTCGTGACTTGACAAGCTTGTCTTCCACAAATGGATCTGCTTCCTCTGGTAGATGTGAATTGAGAATACGATTTGACATTTGCCACGTAAAGTGAACGTAATACATGACACTCAGATCAATCAGATCATCTCCGTATGGATCACTCATTTTCTGTCCCAAAACTCTCAATCCAATCACAAAAACGGATTGCAGCACGACAACGAGTCCCCTGATAAGACCATTGATCCAGCCTGTGTCTCCTGTCCCCGCCTGGATGGCAGCTGTGACCGCAAAGAGAGGAAGATAGAGAGTGGTCAAGAGACAGATGAAATGGACGTAGAAGAAGGGGATGGGAAGGTCCTTGGCATTGAAGAGCTCTCCAATATGACCTTGAAGCTTGATGATTTGATCTCGAAAGTCCTTTGCCAGTATTTGATTGATCAGGCCTTGTCTCTGACAGTTTTAAAAGCCATTTGGTGTGAGAACGGATCGTATGATATCAGGTGTCAACAAATAAATAATGCAATCATGCCACATACCTCTGCTGTGTGAATCTCGTTCATGCACCATGCCACGAGTTCACGAGAGCAAGACCCTCCATGGTCCAAATCAATGTGGTCTAATCGAGCTCGTTCTGGCTGTGTCAAGAGACTCATTTCCTGGTCCGCGTAATTGAAATAGTTTCCAGTGGTGTAAACATCGGATAAGCCCACATACGCAGCGGCATGGGCACAGTTCATATATCGGACCAATCTGGCAACTTTCTCGGGTGGAAGTGATGCGGCTCCGAGCGTGGCGCAATTGAAGATGCTACCCTTGATTCCCATGGAGCTATCATAGAGCCCAAAGAACCTGTCATGGCTTTGGTTGACCCAAAAGACGAGGAAGAAGGTGACAAATCCACCCAGCACTGTGATACTGTCCGCTGGCAGATCATTCAGATAAGATGGCAACTCCCATACGGAGACTATCCTGATGCCAACATAGATACAAATGGAGAACCAAAAGAGGGCATCATACGCCAGAATCCTCATGACAGTGCCGTCATAGGAGGATAATATCCTCCACATGGGCTGATCACCTTGATTCAATACCCGCCTTCTTCTATTTTCAATTCCCTTGAGCTGCTCTAACCGGTATTCCACGTCCACCACATTGCCAAAGTTGGCTCGGACAAACTTGCCAACAAAATTGAGAGAGCTACTTCTCAAATGGGTGCTAGTCTGTCTTGTGGGTGCCTTCTTGAGGCAAATGCTTCTCCGTTTTGACTGGTGACTATCCCTACCGTCTCTTCCAGTAGACCGGCTGTTCCTAGTAGAGTTGCAGGTTCCAGACTGCTCATCGCCTACTGGTATCGTGGCACCGGTGCGGTCCTCGACCTCGTCCAAGAACAAGGAGTCTTCCGATCCACCATCAGAGCTGACAGACTCACTGGCCAACGTTGCAAGAGGCATGGTGGTGTCGAGTCTGCTGGCTGGAGTTGCCACGGTATATGCTCGAGCTATCTGGGTGTTGTTGTGGGATGGGAGTTTAGCTTGGCTGCAGTTCCTGATCTTATGTCCCCGTCAAGGTTGTTCCCAGGCTCGTCTGTCGCTTCTTTAAACTTCTGTCTATGTCTAAAATCGAGTCCAGAGAGGTTTGGTTGGTTGTTGGAGTGATTTACTTTCTGTAAGTGCTGGTAGCTGGTACGATACAGTATCGAAGAGGCCCTCTTCGCTTTCGTTCATAGCCGTGGGCCGTGGGCTTTGGTCTTGATTGCAGACTTGGCGCTCTTATTGTTCTCCCCACTGGAAATACTCAAATGTACGGTCTGCCGTCAGTACCTTAGAAACAAGCATGTACCAGTTCTGAGGGTCATAGTGTCATAGTTGTGACAGTTTTGAGAAAGATGACTGATCTAGTAGTATTTATGCCTCTTGAAGTCGTCTTCTTTACGGACCTTTCCTAAAACTACTCTGCTAGTAGCTTTAAGGTGGTTCCGTCCAGGATGTAAGCCAGCCATAGACTGCTAATAATACTGACGTATGTTGGAAACATATCTTTGCAATTGTACGGAATCCGGAATCTTGAATGTTCGTATTCTCGCTGGATAGCTAGTCCTCTCCAAATTCGCGCCAATTCTAGCTTCAACAGCCAAATTTCGAAGATCGCGCACCTCGTGCCTTATATCTTCGAGTCCACCGCGAGCATGGCGAGGCGCTGAATCCAAGCAGCCAAGAGTGCGCATTGGTGACAAGATTGTTTTATCAGAACAGTGCAAAGGCTCCGACGTTCATTATTGACCGACGTACCATTTTCGCGTGCAGAATACAACGTTGTTCTTCTAGCTAGCCAACGCCATGATGGAGTCAACTCCCACTCCACGCAACAAATGGAAGCCATCATCAACAACAGAACAAGCAAGACTTGCTGCTAGTGAAGGTGGATGGAAGCATCTTGCTGGAATAAATGAAGCCACTTTGAGCACTGGGAGATCAACTAGAAATGGCAATAGTGGCAGCAACAAGCACAGGAAGAGGATTCTATTTGAGGAAAACATCCCTGCAGAAGGTGACACAACAGATGAGGCAGAAGAGGCTACCAGTGATGAAGAAGATATGAACTCACCGCCACGAATTCAATACCAAAGCAAGCAGCCGGCTACTGCTGGAGACGAGCCAAGTCGAAAAGCTGGTTGCTGATTTTGGCAAATGCCCTATTGCGATTTGATGGAGCCGATGCCGTTGATCATGACCGTCCACAACTGGGCATTGTGTCACAATCGACTAGATGCTGCCAATGAAGAATGCGATTACACCTACGAATTACCCACTCCCGCAAAGACAACAATGCATGCTGACGACAAGAAATACGAGAGGAGCACCGATTACGAGCTCAATCTAGTGTTCGTTCTTGGCAATCTTGCGAATGGTAACGGTGGAGTGGAAGCCGGCAAACTGCTGGGGTTGATGGGGCTACCAAATGATACGACAATGTCTGGCCGAACTTTCCCACGATAGAGCGAGATTGGCCCCATTTGCGGGAATTGAGGGACGAAATCCTGATGGAAAACCTGGACGAAGAAGTCAGACATCAACCACGGAAGAACATTATTTGGCGTGGAAGCTGTCATCCCGAGCAGCAAAGGACCATCCGTCAAATCAAATTGAAGGGATCGTATGACGGCGCTTGGCAGCAGAAGGATCCGGCCTTCTCTACAATTCATCGTCTGGCCACGGTAGTTTGGTAGGTGCAATGACTCGACAGGTCATTGCTTTTGGTCAAAAGAGCAAGAAATGCGCCAAGTGCGAAAAGCACGAAAAGGATCACCCTGATGCCGATACCCGACCTGACTACCCCGACCACTATTGTCCCCGCAACCATGATCCAACCGATTCGTCAGGTGCGATGGAAGCGGCGTTGGCCTTGGAAATTGCGATCGATCTATACGACAATAAAGGCATTATTCTGGAGCTCCTTTGCTGTGACGACGACTCGTCCATTCGGGCCGATTTGAAGTGGTCGAACAAAGACTATCTAATCAACAACAACACTACCGTTCTACCGCAGGTGCCGAAAACCAAGGGAAAGAACAAGGGTGAGCTACAAGACCGCACGGACAAAGGGAAACTACCAGGCCATATTCCCGAGCCAAAGTTTTGTGCTGATCCCAACCACCGCCGCAAACAGTTGACTGGGGAACTATTCGTTTGGATTTGGCCAAGGTCGCAGACAAGAAGACAATGACAGGTTGGATTCCATTCGTCTTGGCAAGAACTACGGCTACATGGCCCGCACACTAAAAGACCGCGACGAATCGGAGTTTGTGGATGTCGCCTGGCTTGTCTAGAGCACCACTTTGATGCCCACGACAAATGCGGTCCTTGGTGCGCTCGTGCAAGGCACGGAACAGGAGCACTCGCAAGCAAGAAGTACTACCGCGACAAGAAAGAAGATGCTGAGCTTTACGAGCTGCTACGGAAGAAAATGGGTCGCTACTGTGAGCTTGAGCGATTGAGAGAGATTGCCCACGGCTTGGACACGATGCAAACGAGTCATTCAACAGCGTCTGTACCTGGTTCGCACCCAAGAACAAAGTGTTTTCCGGGTCCTGTTCGCTAGCCAATCGTCTTGCCTTTGCCGTCGGAATCGTCTCCCTTGGATATGTCGAGTTTTTCAACCGTCTTTTCCTCAAGCTTGGAATTGACATGACAAACAACGTCCATCATTACCTCACCGTCAGGCAGAACCAACGACAGAAACGACTGGACCGGCTCAAGACTCCGAGTACAAGCAGTACCGCGGAAAAGAAGAGGAAAATCCGGTTGAAACGATTGCCACGAAAAAGGCATGGGCGAAACGACACAAATGCTACCGTCCGGGCATGAATTTGGATCTTCCGCAAGAGCAGCTTCCTGCTGAGGCGGCGCGGATCGATGCCGAGAATGCCGCAAAACGGCCTGCAAAGAAGAGGAAAACGACAAAGACGACAACTACTAGCAAAGGAAGGTTTTGTCCCTTCTGCGGTAAGAAGGGACACGTTTCGAACAAATCCAAGAAGTGCACCAAGACAGGCGATTCCAAGGCTGCGTTGCTGTTCGATAGGTTGACTGGAAAGCTGCTATCAGAGCTGGCTGCAAGCACTCCAACTGCAGCTTCTATTCCAGCTGCTAGTGCTTCTAGCCAGCAAGCAAGCATGATTCCAGAAGCTGAAGTTGAGGAGGAGGTAAGCCCAGAGGAAACTGCTCAAGATTTGGCCCAAATGGTAGAGGATGGAACCAAGGATTGGCTGATTTGGAGTGCATTCCTTCGATGCACTCGATGGAGAAACAGAAGACTTGTTGGAGCCTTGATGATGATGATGATGATAGTGATGCGGCAGCATGCCATCTAGATAGATAGCTAGCTAGCTAGCTACCTTGCTAAGGTAGTGTTTTCTTGGTAATGAAGAGTGTTGTTGCCATAAACCTAGAGAGCGTCGAGTACAGAGCCACGGAGTTCGTAGACTACTTGTAGCTGACATTAGATAGGTATGTTACGTATGAAACGGCCAAGATTCGAATTCTTCGCCGTTGTTTCTTTGTGAGATCATAATTTTTACATTCAAATTTCAGCCTCACATTATTGGGTGGGCACCGCGACTGGATTGCGCGATCCTATACTAAAATAGTACAAATAACACGTTTTAGGCAAGTTCAAAGGCTGTTTTCCGGTGAATAGCAAGATTCCTTTTCGAAAACAACGAAAGCAGAACAACAACAAAAAGTCCATCAGCACTCGCAGTGTTAGAGAGCTCATTCTCTGGATGCGCTTTGATGCTAAGCCCCTGCAACCATACATTTATCTCCTTCTAATAGTGTAAGGAAGAGAGTAGTAGGTGGTTGCGGGGGCATAGCACCAAAGTGCATCGAGATCTAAGGGATTCATTCAGCCGAATCGGTCGCGACCGAAAGCTTCCATTCAGCGAAGAATGCTATCAGGTGGAGTGGAACACACCACCGATACCCTTCGGCAACCTCTTCCTACTACTATTAGCAACACCTCTTGTACATTGTATAGTCATCAGCCATTATCATACAGCGATTCCGAGCCACCTTTAGCAGCAGCTGTTCGATCGATCGATTGTTTCTTATTTCACTCGATCTCTCGCGATAAATACTGGTGGGCGCACCACTATTTATTCACAGCTTTTTGCTGGCTTACATCCTGGACGGAACCACCTTAAAGCTACCTACCGGTAGCTAGTAATCTCATGTACGTATCATACTGCTGTGAAGCTCTTTGATTCCCACGTCACTTAACCTTTTAAGGATGTCCCACGGGGTGTTATCTTAAAAGCGTGAAACATGCAACGTTTACTAGCATTATCACGATAAGAAAAGTGAGAGAACCCTATTGAGAGGGTACCTTAGGCCGGTCTCTACCGAGCGACTAAATAGCGACTAAGCCATATTTCATGTTTAGTCGATAGTTTAGTCTCTGGGGGTGGTGTCTACCATATGGACTAAAGGTCATACAGACTAAAGGCTTTAGTCGAAATGTTCCTTCACCGACTAACGGAGCTGGTTAGTCGGTGAGTGAGCGTAACGACTAAAGCCTCTTTAAAACTCTTTAAGAACAGCACTTTTAGAACAGCACTTTAAAAAAGACAGCACCCTCATTGCACAGCCTCACTATCGAGCATCGCGACAGAGTGATAGAGTAGAGGTGCAACCGATCGAACGATCCAAGAGGAGAGGTGCAACCGATCGAAACGATCGAAGAGGAGTATCGGCGATAGAGAGGGAGCGATAGTAGAGGTGCGATCGACGATCGAACGATCGAGAGGAGTAAAGTGGTGCAAACGACAGAGGAGAGGTGCATTGCAATGGTGTGTTTTGAGTTTGTTATCTCAATAAAAGTAATCACTTCTTTAAGTCTTTGTTTGAGTCCTTTAAATCCACCATGCTGATAGAATATTGGTAGCCCACCAAGTGATCACCTTTGTTAAATCTTTTTTGAGTCCTCTAAGTCCAGTATTGTTCCCATGAATGTTTATTTAGTCAATTTGTTTAGTGCTCTGGGTAGACAGGTCTAAATGACTAAAGAACTGACTAAATTGTTTAGTCCGAGTTTAGTCATCTGCTGGTAGACACCACCATTACTAAAAGGATAATGACTAAATCTTGAACTAAACAACCACCTAAAGGATTCCTTTAGTCGCTACTTTAGTCCCCCCGGTAGAGAGCGGCCTAGAGCAATTCGTTCTCGTCCAATACCCCAATGCCCGTATAGGTTGTGATATACCATCTTATAGAGTAGACAATGCTCTATCTGTATGACCTGAAAGAAACATAAAATTGTGTTGTTGTGTGTTCACCCACTTAACTGTCGTCGGCTCATCGAAAACTGCCCATTCCAATGAGTATCCCCGTTGCGGGATGGACTTTGCTCGATAGACAGCCAATATTTTATGTTTCTTTCTTCAGCATGAGATGCACCGTACTCAACAATGTATAGTGACTTTGTATCATGTCATTGGAGAGTGGCATGCCGATCCTGTTCTCCATGGTCGGAGGGTCAAGGTAGTTTGTTGTTGTGTTTGGAATAGTGAGCAGCCGAAACTGTTATCTCCCATCGGCAGAAAGATATCAAATCAGCGGGGTTGCACGCTCGAAAGGAATCACGTTGAACTGAAAAAAACAAAAACCAAAAGATCAGCTTCATTGTGACACGTTTTTGCGCCATTTCGCCGTGTGTACTTACAAGCTTTCACCATGAACCGCGCTACCAGAGTTGAATACTATGATGAGGCCTGCCTTGATTTTGCTACTATGCTTGCTTGATGGTATTGTTGCTCTTCCCAAGGTCCTGCCCATGGGTGGTGGCTTTCGCGACGGAGTGAAGTGAAGCCTGACGCAAAGTATGGTAAGGAAAGGGTAAAGTATTGGGTGAAAGGAGAAGGGTTGAAGTCACCGGCCATCAAGAGACTGATCTGCCCCTGCTTTTACTGTGGTTGAGCAAAGAAAGTGTCTCGTGAGTACAAGACCACGACATGTCCAGCACTGTGTTGTCTTACAATCTTGTTTTGATGGATGGAAGTGGTACCATGTTCAAGGCCACGGTTAACAGTGGGCTCTCCCATATTTCGCTGCATACAACCTCTATGTTGGATCGACTGTCTTCGTGGATACTATGCCATCATCACGCGACATCAACCGTAGCTACACGTACAAGATGTACATGCTCATCAAGGACTTCCGCTGGAAGCTTTCCCCAACAAGAAGGTCATTGATCTTCTTCCCATCATCATGCGTGACGTTGTTCCATGCCACTGGGCATATCTACCGCGCACCGGTAGTTGAGAAGATGATGACGCCAAGGCCATTCGGCAGTTCCAGGTTGGGAGAGTGGTTCCACTTGAAGAGAAGAGTACTTCGATTGATGCATATGAGTCGATCCACTGTCTCATGAAGGCACCTGACAAAGGGCCTTACTTCCACGGAAATTGGATCCAGCATGAACCTAGCCGTCAGCGTTGGAGGAGCAGATGGACTTCGACCTGATGAAGTCTCGTGGATGCGACATGCGGGAGAATCTCCTGAATACCTTCGATCTGTATGATGAAGAGGAAAACAAGCGTGGAAGTTACTTCATTGTGACACAGCCAGCAATTGGAGAAGAGGGACATCACAACAGTTGCCAGTGCTGTTCTGAGTATGGATTCATCCAGTGCATTCTTCTTACTTGCCTCTTGAGGATGTGGACGTGAACGACTTGTATCTCTCTGTTTCCAGCAGGTTGAACGGAGAGCTGGATGGTGACTCATTCGATGACTTGGCGCCCAACCACAAGCGCTGGTGCTTCTACTGGTACTACGCCGTCAATGGGTACAAGTTCGTCAATGGCCGCAAGCAGTTGCCAACCTGTTTCGTAAAGGCCGTTCGGTCATTGTATCCGAATCCGAGGGGAGTTAGGTACAGCACTTTCATGCCTACTGATCCGAAGAAAGTTTTGGAGGAAAAAAGTATTATGAGCGCTGGTGCCAAGGCTACGGAAGGTGGTGTCAAGCGAAAGTCCCTTGATCTTTGGGAAGACTAGAGAGCAACCGAACACCGTTGGTTCTCTCATAGCCTATCAACGCTCCAATCAGCGACGTCTCGGAACCATTCAGAGAGTTCCCGGAACGATGGAACAGTGGAGGAAACTTCAACGCAACACTATTTCCATCTTGTTGTCTTGTGTATTTGTCGACAAAGAATACCGGTTTTCGCAGCCAATGAAGTGTAGCTATTGATAACACTAGACTTTCTATACTATTTTAGTACACCGTCGTACCCAATAGCTACGTACATTTGACAAGTCAAACTGTTCCGCGATTTTTCCAACTCAAAATCGACGATTATCGCAAAAGAACATAAGAGAACTACGGCCCTACTACGCTACTACATGTATGTGTTTGGCGATGTTCAACTGTCATTTGCTAGCGATTCCGACAGCTCCGCGATTCGTGGATCGCTTGTGAGGGGAATGTTATCTATGAGCGAAATTTCATTCGTAGCGCCATCCTCGTTATCCTCGTCTTCATTCCTAGGAACAACATTGTTATGTTCTTCTTCGCCGACGGATGTTTCATTGGGGGGATCCACCCTACTCCTCTTACGTCGGTTCCTCCCATTATTTGGACACAATCCACTCCTCGCATCTTTATGTCCTCTCCGATTACATTTCGAACAAACTACCTCCGACAATGGCCCCCTACCGTTCGTTTCTTCACTTTCCATCGCGGAGCCAGTCTGGTAAGCCATGCCGTTCGCTCGATCAATCCGCAGTTGTTTCATGTAACCCTGTATCTTGTCATGCATTTGTCTTTTTGCGTTTGACACGGAATCCTTTTCCTTGATGTCTCTAACTTACTGTTTCGTTGTCGGTCTCTTAGGAGAAGTCGGTACTCAGTCAACAAGTCTACATCCAACCAAACATGAAAGAACAAGTCATGCCACAGATCCCTGTTACCAACCAGATGTGATGTCAATTGCAATACGGACTACGCATCACCAACGAAACGCTACCGCAGAGCGTCTTTGCTTTGGGAGCCAGCCATCGATCTGTTGATTCAGTGACTTCGATAACTTTGGGTGTCACTTGTCGTGGAAAAGTTCGTCAAGCTTTTCAGCTGTGGTGAATTCTTCCACAGTACTTTCAAGTCCTCGAAAAGCAAGCTGTCACGTTCCATATTGCGGTAAGTTTTCTGGGACTTTGATCGCTGCTCCACGTTGTCTGCCTTTCTCTTGCACCACTCACCGCATTTGTCGTTTAAATCAAAATGATGTCTGTAGATTCACTTTGCCCTTTCCACCCTTTCTCTTTCCGTTATGCTAGCAAGATCGCGGATGAAGAAGATGAATCAAAGATATTCGAAGAATATCGCCCTCATGCATGTCATTCCTGTTTTTACTGGTCTTGCTTTCAACTGGTACATACGATTCTTGAGTGTCTTCTTTCGATGAGCTGGGTCGGCAAGGAACCTTGGTTGCGGCACAGGGTACTTCAACATTCCCGATGTACGGTATACCGGTATCATCTTTACTTGTTCCGGATTCTTCTGTTGAGATGGAGGCGCAACACGTGTCCCTATTATCACTCCCTCCGTCCCCTGGTGCATGACCGTGGTGTTTCAACCAATCAACGTTGGACCATTTGCATCGTGCCTTCATTTTGCTGTCATCGTCGGTAACAACGTTGGTGAGACAAACAGCCTTGTCGAAGTACAGATCCTCTGCCATCTTCAACAATGAGGCAGCCTCCATTGCACCGGCACCATCATCGTGGTTGACAAGACACTCATGATCCGGTATCTCATCGGTAAGTTCCCGCTTCTGGTTACATACCCTACAAAAGGTGCATTTGGTAGACAGACTCACTGGTTTTCTTGTCTTCTCTCCCACCAGACATGCATGACCTGAATGGGAGTCATACGTCCTGCCACTGGATCGCTTATTCCATCCCATATCAGTGGAAGTTCCGATGAATGGAAGCTGTGTTCCTTCTGGAGGTGAGTCGCCTGTGACTATACTGTCATGCCACTGCTTCAACTCGTCTTCCCTTCCAATATATGTCAGTCTTATCTCTTCCATCAAATTGTCATGCAGGTACCCTTCTACTACGTATTCCACGTAGGGAGCCACCTGCCGCTCGATTTGAGAGAATGTTCTCCTTTCCATTGAATTTGCTCCAGGAAGAGACAGAAAGCTCAATAGCCTTGCTGCCTCCGTTCCACCATCTCCGCTACCCACAAAGGCAAGTACAAATCGGACATTGATATCAAAGTCAATGTTGGCATCACCCTGTGCATCAGACTTTCTAAGCGTGGTTCTTTTGGTCCTGGCAGACCTTGACTTGAACATGGGATCACATTGCGTACACTCAAGTACTGGTGTAGTAGCAACACCAACAGAAACAAACTTCAAGCGAAGTGAATTGGCCTTGTGACATCGGTTGCAGACACAACTGTCTTCGATTAGCTTGGAAAATGGTGCTGTTTCCACTATGGCACGGGTAGGTGGAGGTGGTTCTGTCATGGTTTCAACATCTGGGACATCATCATCGTCAACTGCAGTGTCCTGTGTACATGTCGCTGACTCTTTGTCATTTTGAGTGGTGACTTTTCTTTTACAGGGACGGGCAATGGTGGTGGATACCCTTGCAACGGCATCAATTCCCTCCACAAGATCAACCTTCGCAGAACATCCTGTATTGAGACGTTGCCGATTCCAAGCTGGACCACCAAACCGACCGTGCTGGTCTAGCTTCCTCAAGGAGGAGTTGTTGCTTCTACCACTGTTGTCCATGGTAGCATTTGTGGTTGTGGTTGTTACTGTTGTCTGGTGACGGCACTCTGCAAGAAATTTGGTAATGCCGACATGTTCATCGAAGGGAGAGTAACTGTCCCTCCATTCATGGTTAGCTAAAAGCCAATAGCTAGCCAAAGGCAGCCAACTTTGTGAGGCGCAAAGCCAACATTTCAGCGGAGGTGAATGGCGAGACATGCTTCGAGGATGGAATGAGGAGGTCGGAAGTTCCAAATTCCCACGAAATCATAGGGTGGATATAAGAGCTAATGAAAAGTTTATCTATTTGGAGAGCTTTCGAAAAAGTGAGCAAATATAATCTTAAAACTAAAACGCACTGTATCCCCCGTGGGACATCCTTAATTCTTAGGGACACTGCAAGAATCACCAAAACCACACCTCTGACTACTTTGTGCAACAAAGAATGATCAGTGCTCCAGAGTTTTGAGTTTTATGAGCTTCAAACACACCAGAAGATGGACACTGTAGCTTTTATGTTGTGCTACTCTGAGACCCCCTACCGGTACCGGTACCACCAACCACCCAACCCACAGCATCAGAATCATACGAAACACGCCAGAAGATGGACACTGCAGCTTTTGTTGTGCTGTTGTGCGACCAGCTACTGTACCCTGCTACCCACTACCGGTACCGATACCACCAACCCACAACCCAATGGAAAGAAATCGCAGGGTAGAAGGCAGGTGCGTGCCAAGATCCGGTTGCTGTGGGGCACAGGGCTGGTACCAGCGATCAGCACCAAGAAAGAAACTTTGCATAGGTGACAACACTCTTTACATCATTTCTGTAGATCACGCAATCACGCAAAAGAAACAAGCAAAGCAAGGTCCGAATGATGATCCCATTTTTATCTTAGTAATTAGTACCTTGTACTCGTGGGGTTATTACGTTACGTCTTGATGTAGTCTGGATAGGTGCACCCCGTTTGGGCCACGTCCTTCAGATCTCCGGCGTACACCCCTAATTCTCTCAATGTGGCCATCATGATGGATATCGTTTCATCGCTGGCCTCCTGTTCGCGGGTGAAGAGCCAGAGCCCAGATCCATTAATATCTAGAAAGCAGGTCGAAGAACTTGTCGTGCAAAGGTTCTTGCCCCCGCTGACGGTTTTGCGGTACTGGTCCGGTGCCCCTGCGCTGACAATGGCCCACGAATAATTCTCTCCGACCGCCAAAACCCAATAGGGACCGTGGATCAAATCAGCGACGAGGTTCAAGAGGCAGGGCCCCACTCGAAGCTTGCCACCACTTAGCTGCTCCGCGCACAACTGTGTAAAGAAATCATCCTGGTTTGGTCGGATTTCTTCGCCGTCGACGCTGCCTCTGTTGGCAGAGTTCAGCACTTGAACGTATCCATCCGCTCTAGTCTTGTAGGTGGCAACCACACAAAACAGAGCATCTTCCCCCTGGTAAGGGTTGACCTGCTGTTTTTGAACAAACCAACTCTTTTCGACGTACGAGTTTAAGTCGAAAGCATTCTTGGAAAGAGGATGGACACTTTGGCAGGCTTTGGAATGATGTTCTGGTTCTAGATCAATCTCCTGTGCAGAGTCCGAGTTGTCCTCTTCAGCAGTATCCTGTAGCTGCCTCCGGCGCAATGCTGCTGTATCCGCCTCAGCAGCTACCGTACTGATCGCAAACAGGAGCCAGGCATACCGATACCACCACCGGCTCATCCGAGTCGATAGAGCATACATCGCACTCTCTACTCTGAGTACTCGCTTGATGACGCTGGATAAGGCTAGCTGAAAGAAAAGCTGGGATGCCGTGCCTCCCTCAACGTTGGCACAGCCAAACAAGTTCTTGCTGTTGGGAGAGAGCTAGTTCATCCATTGGCGACGATTTGTGGTTGGGTGCAGCAGAGGTGCTCGGAAGCCAAAATGTGAGGCCCAGAGACAGAACGTGCACAACGTCGGAAGTCTACGTACGATACGGTACGGTACAGTACCGTTACCCCAAAGACCGGTTCAAGTCAACAAATGGTATTTTAGCACTAGCTAGACTACAAGATCTAATATCTAACCTGGAATGGTTTTTGCCAATCCACATTGGGTACCGGTATTACTGCCTATTCAACAATCCCATGGCACAATAGCAGCAAACGGTGCCAAGAGGTGTTTCACGTAGCCGTTGACATGCTTGCACACTTGCACTATTCAAAGCAAACATTTGAAACAGAAAGCCAACCACTAACAATAGAGCAGGTACATGTATCAACTGCTATGATTGTCATCTCATTAATCCAAGCCACAAGGAACTTTGGCAACATGGCTGTAGTAAAACGGGAATGGATCGGGAGATACGAAGTGATCGTATTGACCAGGACAACAAGAAGCAACTTTTCGCAGCGACTTCAAATGCACATATTCAACGTATTCTATTCATATTTTCGTTCTTCTGCGTTAACTATGGACATTCCTTCATTTCCGTCCCACTATCGCAGTGGGATTATACACAAAATAAACATTTAGATTTGATCCTCTGATGGTGCCGGGGCTGATGGCCGGTGTCTGTCGATTGCTTGTCCTGCACCGGTAGGTTGGTATGGGTCATACTGGAAAGGAACAGTGACTTTCACTGTTGGCACTCGGATTGGAAGGGTGCGATGGCGCTGTGATGGTTGGGGCGGTTGGGCAACCCCTGAGTGGCTTGGATAGGGCTTGTCTTCTCGTTGACGAGCATACCACGAAGACAATCGATTGATCAACATGATCAAGTCCATTGCCACGGTTGATTCAAAGTGAACCCCTCTGGAGCCCATTCTCCGGACCAAGGATTGGACGTCACTCGTAGTGATAAGCTGTGGGTGACATTCATCAGCATTGTCAGTCCAACGAAGAAATAAGTTGGGGTATCTCAAGCTTCCCAGTTGACATGCAGCTTACCTGTTGTACTAATGTTTCGGGCATTTTGTAGGGCTCTTGCTTGAGCACGTGCGCCAAAACCGAGCGTCGCTGGGACAAAATCTGCAGAAACCCCACTTGACGTGTCATTTCGAGTGCAGTAGGCGGATCCTGCGGTGTTGGAGGAGTCGCAGTGGTTGTCTCGGGTCGATCTGGTCCATCGTCAGGTAGTTGGACGGGACCCCCGCGGCGACACTTGAGGCGACAATAGACCCTCCATTCACTCTGCCAATCGCCAACATGAGCATACAATAGAATCGAATCAGTGGTGAGCATCAGGGTTGTAACGAGTGCATCAACAAAAATGGATAGTTCGACTCACCCAGCTTTTAAAGTGCGTCGGTGGTGTGATGTTTCCAAAATCGAGGGCAGCCACAAAACCGGCCTCCTCCAAGATTTCATCAATAATGTCCAACGCGCCGCGAACAGCTGCATCGGCATTTATCACGGATTGCTTCGTGAGCATGCCAACACGTCGTTCCCATAAAAGTGGCATGGGCAGGAACTTTGTAATGCATTCCACTAGTGATTCTGGCAATGCCATTGTACGCAGCAACGCTTGTGTCGACTTTTTGGAAACATGATACGGAAGTGTCGTTGGCATGCTGTACGGAGACGACAAGGAAAGCTCTTTTCGTGGAGACGGGTCATTCAATTCCTGCACGATTTGATGAATGGTCACTCGTCGAAACGGTGGAGGGTCAAGGGAGGTGGACAAGGGTACCATGGCGCGTTCTTTCTGCAACAGATTCCACAATAGAATCATGGTGTAGTTTCGATGCTGCCGTTGCTGTTGCTGCATGAGATCCAACTGCACATTTCCATCTAGCAGATCTTCGAGATCCTTGGATTCGCGACGCTGCGCCACTTCTCGTGCCGTCCTGCCACGAGAATCGGTGACCCATAAATCACATCCTGACGTGACGAGAATACGTACCACTTCCATGTGTCCACGCTTGCAGGCTAGCATGAGCGAGGTTGACCTCTGCGCCGTCATGGAATCTAGTTCTGCCCCCCGATAAATCAATTCCCTGCAAACATGAGCATGTCCACGCTGCGACGCCAACATCAAAGCAGTCATTTGGACTCGATTTCGTCGATTCACGGCAGCGCCACGATCCAGCAACGCCTTTATAATGTCAATATGTCCCTCTTGAGCGGCTCTCATCAAGGCAGTGGTTTGATTGAAATTTGCCATTTCCATTAACGAAATGCCTCCCACCTGCAACAATAGCTCGAGACATTTCAAATGTCCAAAATGGGCAGCTTGCATGACAGCTGTAATGCCATTCGACGATGCTCTCGATGCCAATGCCCCACGATGCAACAAATCTCGCACCATAACCAAGTTGCCTCTTTGACTGGCTACAATGAGGGGCGTGACGCCTTTTGCATTTTCAGCTTCGACGGGTGCTCCATAGTCGAGAAGTGCTAATGCTGCCTCGGTACAGTTTTCGCGAATACACACGTTCAATGCGGGATCAAAATCTCGTCCAAAGGTCGCTGGATGAGGATTGTCATTTGCTTCTGCTTCTTCTTGGTCGTTATCGTGCGTTGGCTTTCGGTTGTTGTGCCGTGCCTGGATTTGTTGGTGAATGTTGGCCATCATTTCATAATAGGCCGCGGCACTGCGTCCTCCCTCAAAGTCGTTGTTGTTGCCTCCATCGCCATGTGAGTCGCATCGAAAGCGATTCGCCAAACGTTCGAGAATGCTGCCTTCTGGTAGTGCCGCCAGCGTTCTACTACTACCAGTAGATGGACTGTCCTCGTTGGCAGTTCGACTTTTTCGTCGCACCGATGGATTGCCGTTTTGATCTCCCTTGTACCATTCTGGCTTTGGGCGGAATAGTTTGGTGGCACCAGGCTCCATGAATTGTTTCAGATTGGAAGCAAGGGGGAGATTCTTTTCGCGTGGTTGTGTGTATTGTGGGGCCGCTTTCTCACTCTTTGGTTGTGGAGTATCCATGGATTTCTTGGACGTTGCTGCTTCTTCTCTGTCCTCTTTTTCCAGATGATTGATCTTTTGCAACTCTTCGTCGTCGTCTTCTTCTTCTTCTTCCTCGGGCGTGGGAGAATTTCGAGGCATCTTGGCGTGTGGCTCTTCGTCTTCCTCGTCTCCTTCCGGTCCATCCACTCCACTACTACTTCCAACCATACTGCATGTATGGTTACCATCCGATGCGTTCCAACCATCCTCGCTGGCCACTCTTCCTTCCGATGATTCCAGGGGAGTTCGAGTTCTCTTACCGCAAGCTGGCGGACTCCCATTGTGGCTGGTTCTAGAGGAAGGCCTCGAGTTGGTTGCTGCCGCCAAAGCTACTCCTGATGTGACGGTGGATTCCGCATCGGCAGCAGAACCACTCGGTTCCTCGGGGCGTGGTACTTGTTCCGACATGATGGGCAACGGAAGATTGATTTCGAAATGAAATGAAGGTGACAGGACAACAAAAGCCTTTGTGGCAGCCACTCCGACGACAGCAATAACAGGAAGACCTAGCCTTTGGCCAAGGTTCGGAACGGTCTCTCGATCTTGGAGTTGTTTGTGCCGTTGCCGTTGTGAGGCATCAGCGAGGGGAAATCAACCAGAACCTTATCGCTAACTCTACTAGTAGCTAGATGGCCAGTGGCAGTGCGACTGCACTTTCGCATGGTTCGTGACTGGCAAGCAACAAAACATGAATTCACGAAACTAAAGCAAAATTGGCAAAGCAAAATTGTAAATACCTTGCTATTCAAATATTTCCGAACCAAAATTCAGGTCGGCCTTGTCATCTACTGTAACTCCTGGAAAGTGTGGCAAAAGTTGAATTGGCGATGAAAACTGTTGAATTTCCAGCCGGATTCCACTTTTCAACAGTGTTGAATTTCAAAAGTGTTGAAAAAAGTGTTGAATATTATTCAACACAGTGTTGAATCTATTCAACACTTTGTTCAACAGTAATTCAACAGATTGCTAGTCATAATGGTGCATATCTCAACACTTTATTCAACAGTAATTAAACAAGTGTTGAATCAGATTCAACAGTTTTTTCAACAGTTGTTGAATCAAAATTCAACACTTTTGCCGGTTTCAACAGTTACAAAGTGTTGAATTCCCCTCCTCCCTCGCCAAATTCAGCTTTTGCCACACTTTCCGGTTCCCGAGTACCACCAGCTAACTAGTCTAGCTAGCAAGCTGGGGGCCTTTTGAACTACTTGGTGTCCTTTCTGTCTCTTTTCAATCCCTGGACTCCATAAGGTTTTTAAAGTAGTATCATGCCATTCTCATAAAAGCCAGCAGCAATATATGGGATGTAGCAGCTTTAGACAACAATACAGATGAATGCTTGCTAACAAAATCGATCGATCAATGCGTTCAGCTTCCGTGGGGGATGGCTGAGTCCACTTTATGTTTGGCCTTTGCAAAGGTATTGCAAATCTCGTTCTTAAAGCTACGAGCAGCAGGTGGAATATCTTTGTTCATAGTAGATTTGCCTATTGCTTTTTCCAGTTTGAACTTGGGACTCAAGTCGGCGGCCTGTTCAGTTGCAGACCGTGCGGCATACTGCTTACATGGGTTTATCTTCCTCTCTCTAGATTGACTGAAAGTAGATTCTTCGGCGATCATTGCCAACTGGGCAATGTCGCCGTCACACCAAGCCACAGCGGTCAGGCTATCAGGCATAGGAGTTCCCCGTTTCCGCCCTTCTTTCACACGTGTATTATCAACCACAGGCAAGAAACAATCTTTAATAAAATGCCTGTACTTTACTTTATCTGTTTCATTGTCGCCATCATTGCGAACAAAACAACAAAACCCGGGTCCTCGCGACTAACCGAGACACCGCCACCACCAACACACAAACCATCGATTTGAAGAACCAAAACTCTGTCTTTGCATTGGTCTTTTGGAGGCTCACACTCATCATTGAAACCAGCAATTGTCATCCAAACAGGTCCAGTACATCCAGAAGTGGCTGACCGAGCAGCAGATTGCTTGCACAGGTGGATTTTCCTGTCTCTATAGTTGCTAAGGGTTGACTCATTAGCAATTGTGGACAACTGAGCAATATCTCCATCGCACCATGCAACGGCGGCTTTGTTCTCAGGGATTGGTGTTCCACGTTTCCAACCTTCCACTCGGAGATTATCAATCCATGGCAGCAGACAGTTTTTGATGATGTACCTGTGCTTGACCTTCGTATCTGTCTCATTGTCACCATTTCGAATAAAACCTGGGTCCTCACCACCAACCGAGACATCACAACCACCAATACAGCAGTTCACTGAATCTTGGAAGTCCTGGAGAAAGTCAACAGCAGAGGTGTTTGGGTCCTTATCTGTACCATGGATGTTGGCAGCGTCATCCACAAAAAGGAACCCTGCAAAATGGAGGGCTTTGCATGCAATTGGCATTGCACTGAATCCACTATCTTTCATACAGGCCACAAGGGCAGCACTAATATCTACCCAAAACATTGGGCTGGCTCCGTTTCCCTGCATGACACCTAGCTAGCTAGTAGGAAGAGGGAGCGACTGAACCAAACGAGCTCGGCATCACAGTTTACTTGGAAAGATCAAACAAGAGGTTGGATGCCACTCTGAGTGCATGTGCTTCCCGGCTAGCTAGAAGGTCACGGTAAGAGCTCCATGGAACTCGGGGTACCGGTACCGTAGGCACTGCCTTCCTTGGACAGCTGCAGACTGGATCATGACAATCATCAGCAAGCACGCAAGAATAGATTGGTAGATCTATCCATCTACTACTGGTAGCTAGGATCACCGTGGGTCCAATTGTTACAAGCAGGTATCATTGGTGGCTTGATGGCCGCCCTTGAACGGGCCAAGGGCTAGCTAGTTGGATACCAGCCATGAATCCAGGAGGGGCAAAGGTTGATTGCTAAGGCGGAGGACCATTGTTGGATTGGACACAGCAAGAACAGTTCCATCATGGCTTCTACCGTACGAGAGCACCCCCCCCCCCCTCGGATGAGACACCAAAGGACGGATGGACCATCGTGCATTCCTTTATAATATGTATTCGCTAGTAGTAGTCCTATTATAAGTAGTAAATGTATCTCTATGCAGATGGGATCCATTTTGTAGAGGGCGGGGGCTCTTGCGCTCGTTGGTGTTGTTTTGGGAAGGTCCAGCCGGAACCTTTATATTCCTCGGTCGGTCAGTCCGCCATTTCCTGGACCGCCTGGGTGATGTCTCTCTTGGTCTAGTTTGCGCGTGTGTTTGTTTTTGTTCCTTTATTATTCATTCATTGAAGTGCATGCATTCATTTATTTGTGATGGTGAAAGACCGTGAGGGAGGATAGATCCAAGTGAAACAGCTTGCCACACTTGGACATCTTGAGCGAACCTTTGAGCAAGGGTTTGCCCGAAACACTGCTGTTGCTAGTAGTGGAGGACGTCAGTTCCGAGTCTGCCGACGAAAAGGAGGAGTAGGCAGTATTGCCACTGTAGCTGCACAATTCGTCACTGTCGTCAAAATCGTCGGGGATTAGCCCGGCTTCAAAACTGGGTGGGAATCCACGGGCGGCTTGTCCGTGTCCATCGGGGTTGATACAGGGAGGAAGGATATCAATGTCCATGTATTCGCGGAGCGTGGCCAAGTGATCCTTCCCCGCAAAGACCATCTTGGCCCGGACTTCCGGAGCAAAGAAAGTTTGCACAATTCTCCACACCATGCGGAAAATCGAGGGTGCTCGAATGATAATCATTCTCTGTGGAGATTAGTAGACAAGCAGAGTGAGATGACTTGTTCGCTACATCACACGCATCCATCCAGTTGTCAATAGACAACCAGAACATACCTTGGCTACCCCATAGTACTTGTCTGCCGTGTACCCCACAGCTTCCTTGAAGAATGCCCCCACTCCCTTTTTCATATGCCTGGACGACAGTCCCTTGAGATCGTACACGACCGTGATTTGTCGCGGCAAATGTCCGTGTTTCTTTTCGTAATCGTTAATCCAGGCACCCGACGCGGTCAACTCGCGCCGCCAAATGACATCGTTGCGCATGGTGGACGACTCGTACCGCGTGACAAAGCCATATCCGTCCATTTCTCCCGCTCGTTCGAGGTAGACGGGATCATTGTCGTGGTCGACACCCGCCAAGAGACTACTGGCGGCGTACTCGTAGAGCGCTCGAGGAGGTTTGTAGTGATCCAACATGTTGTCAATGTCTTCGTCGCAGTTCTGACGCCAGTCAATCATACCGCGAAAGATGGGTTCCGCTTGATCATACCCCTTGGGGCCGCGAATATACCGAACCACTTCGTGGGGTGTGCACTTGAAATGATCCACATCGGAAAGAGCGCCCTTGAGTGTCCGCAGTTGCTCAATCTCCACATCTGTTAACTTCCAAGTTTTGATAGCTTGTTGCATGTTGGCTTCGCTCCAGCGCTCTTGGTGGGATGACCGCTGTTCCGCGTGCGCATGTTGGGCCAGTTTTGACGGAGGCAACATGTCGGTGGCAATGGTATTCTCTTGGATGGAGGGCATCATCGTCATGGTGGAATCAACAGAAATCACAGTAGAAGAGGAATCGAATGGATGGATAGAAGATAATAGGAAAGTACCAGCGGCTAAAGGTGGTAGCTACCGTTGGGCTTATCGAAGAGGATGATAAGGATGGTATACAAGGGTCAGCAAGATGAAGACGTGGAGATGCTACTGCCACCGTTTGTACTTCTTCCGACAATTCAACACTTCTTCTCGGTGATTAGGAGCAGCTGATCTTCCTTGGCGAGGTTCTATCGTCTACGTAGTCTAATCGATACTATGAGATAAATGTGATCAAAGTGCCACGCCTTGCTGATGATAACTGCTCAGCACATCCCAGCAGATAGAAGTTAGCGTGGCGCAACTCGGTCACAAGTAATCAACTGTACAACCCTACGAGTCCCAGAAGATCTAGCTAGCGTACAAGGTCAGTACCGGTAGTAGTCAAATGGTAGCACTGTGAAAGCCAGGTTTTAGATTGAATTGACTCAAACTAACCGCTGGACGAAAATAAGGGGTATCAGGTTTGAAAGTTTGCAATTTTGTTCAAACAGTCATTCTATTCCGCCTTAAGGCCAATTTCACAGGCACAAATCGAATGAAACTTAATCAAATTATGCCTATTCTTGGCACAATGAACTCTCAATAGCGAATGAAGGCTATTTAAAATTTATCTGCCTGTACCGTAGTTCGTGATTAATCTTGCGGAACAGACTGTGATTGTACTCAGCAGAGAGAGTAAGTACCCCCACGTTCTAAAAAGTGACATTTTTGATAAAACCTTCAAGACATAGTGAACTTCCAAGAAGACTTTGTGAAGTCAAGCTGGGATGGGGCAATTATCTAAGATTTAATAACCTCATATGTGAATTCATTGGACAATACCGTGACTTATTCCCAGCAGACCGGTTCTGTGATTAGAACAACACCGCAACGTCACTTGCTGACAGGACCATGACGTTAGGATAGAATCTTAACCTGTAGAGCTGTCAAAACATTTTTCCGAGAGTCCACGTCATCGCAATCCAGCTCATTTTTTCATCTTGAGCTTGCGGTACCAGCGGCCATGTTGTGCTTCCAACGGTGCTCCCTGTAACATTCGTCCATCATCATGAACTATCGGTCATCCAACTCACACGTGAAGCTATACAAAGGAACCGCAGATACCGTAATAGCTATCCCTTAGACTATGGTGGCTACTACTCAAGAACTCACGGTGGTTTTTGCCACGGCAATGGTGGTCTTTGCCAGCATTTTTGAAGTTTCGTCACGGATCCTCCAATCATTATTATGGACGACCAATAACCCAGGCGTTGCGCTGGAGAAAAAGCACATTCCTACGCTCATCCGCCAGGGTCCTTCCTATATCGTGTCATTGGTCCATTGCGTTGTGAATGGATATCGAGGCATCGTGGGGTTGGTGGCACTCCATCACGCCTCTCCCGCTGTCAAGCTCGTTAGTCCACCGGCCCTGGTTGAGTACGAAAGGCATATTCATCATGTCGAAGTGTCCAACACAATCTTCTTTGCCTATCTAGTCTTTGACCTGTTTCATATGTTGAGATTATACCCCAAGCTTGGTGGGATGGATATGGTGGTCCATCACCTAGTCTTCCTTACGTGTTCCATCATTAATGGCAGCTACGAGATTCTCCCGTACCCCTTTTGTTGGTTGATCGTGGGAGAGATTTCAACCACATTTCTGGACATTCGATGGGCACTGATCAAAACGGGGCGGGGAGGCACCAACATGTTTCAACTGGTGCAGTATCTATTTGCTTTGACCTTTTTCCTCACCAGAGTGGTTGTTTATTGGTTGGGTGTGGTGGAGCTCTTCCACCAAAGAAGTGTGCTCATGGACATCGTTTGGAGTGGGCATGTTCCAGGTGTTTTCATGGGAACAACTCTATTGTTTATTGGTGCTGGGAGTGTTCTCAATCTCGTCTGGTTTCAGAAGATTGTGGCCATGGCACTATCCAGCAAGCAGCAGCAGCCGAAGACAGCATAAACGTGGTGCATAAACGTGCTGTCCGCATGAAACTTGAATCATGATGGTCTTGAATGCGTCGCAATGAGATATTATGTTCATATTAGAGGGAAAGGGGGGCTCTTCCCTCCCTGGTACCAGTATATGTACCGGTACGAGGTGCAGGAGCAGGATGGTCCAGACAACCGGACAGTGGATGCAAATGATTGAATCATTCATTCATCATAACTCCTGCGCCGGAAGCGGCAACCTGTTGCCAAGCCATACTGGGAAATTCTGAAAGAATTTTTGACTTGTAAATTCTTTTAGATCATTTATTCAAGTTACTTCTTCACAAACAAATACTGGCACTTGATGCCGCGCCTTAGTTGGGCGGGCTTTGATTTCCCGATCCTTGGTCCGGCTTACACAGCACGTAGTTGGCCTCCCAGGTTTGTTTCTTGGTGTCCGTACCCCATCGTGGGTCACCGTAAGCATCGCGATGAATCTTACACTCACTATCTTGAGTACCAATGTTGACCCAAGCATTCTCATGGTCGGCAAAGGGGGCCCAGTTGTGACCTGGCTTTCTTCCACCAAAGAGCTTGCCGGCAAAACAGTACTCCATAGCGGAAGCCAACACCATCTCCTTGGACTCGCAGAATTTGACACCATCCTCCCAGTTGGTGATGATTTCCGTACCGTCCGAGGGACTGAACCATTGCAAGTCCGCCTTGGCGCACAGAATATAGTTGGATTCAAAGGCTTCCTTCTTATTGTCCATACCCCAAGAAGGACCGTCGCCATACGCCTCCTTGGCGTCGTGCTTGATACAAGCATCGTGCTTGGCCCAGCCGGTGTTTCCAATTGAAGCGAAGCCATTCTTGGTGTCAATGTAGGGCGTCCATTGATTGCCGTTCTTCACACCGCCAAATGGTTTGCCGCTCTTGTCACAGATTTGGTCATAGGTTGCCAGTTCGCGGCCCTTGCTCTTGCAGAAGCCAACAGCTTCGTTCCAGTTCTTGACAGCCCCAGTTCCCTCGTCAGGCCCGTACATCTTGAGCGTAGGTACGGAGGCAATATGCTTTGTACGGTAGAAGAATTGCCCGCCGCCACGTGAATTCATCATCTTGTTGCCGCTCTCCATTGTCATGGTGAATTGACCCTCGCCGTTGTCAAAGTCAATCGTTGCAGGCAAACCACAGAGCAACTTCCTGGTTTCATCAGAGTTTATAGTGCTCCACACAAACCACTTGCCATAGAACTTGTCGGGACCGTAGCTATCCTTTCCAAAGCCCTTGCCTGGTCGTCCCATCCACAGTCTGCCCTTGTCGTCAAGTCTGCTTGTGAGCCCGCGGCCTTCGTCCCAGTCCTTCCAAGTCCATTGATGCTTGGTGATATCGTCCACGGAGTAGATTGGCTCGCAACCGCGTTCGAATGTGAAGCCATACTTGCCCTCTTCGGTAATCTCTGCAATGGAATCGCCAGTGAACTTCACAATGCGAGGATTTCTGATCTTCACATATGACTTGGCTGCTTCTACCATCTTCTTGATGTCGTTCCAGCCTCCCCAGTACTTGTTGAAACCTAGGTCGGGCTCCTGGGCTTGACCTGCAATCCTGTGAGGATTCTCCAGGACCTTGGTCTCCTTGACTTCTGCGATCATTCTGTTGCCATTCTTGATGGTCTTCAATTTAGCCTTGGCATCATCAAGTTTGGCGTACTTTCCCTTCACATTGGTGCCCTCGATCACCAGGAACCTGTAGTGGACTTCATTCTCGTAGTATCTCTCAGCCACATCCATCATCTGATTGATCTGAGGCCAACCCCACCAGAACTTATTGAAACCATTCTTCGTCTTCTGCTCTTGACCATCGATGATGTGTGGATCTCGCACCACCTTTCCTTCTTTGACGGCGGCAATCAACCTCTGGCCGTCTTTGATTGAATTCAATTTGTCCTTGGCCCCTTGCAAGAACGGGTAGCCACCAACAACCTTTTTGTCATTGACCACGATATAGTTGATCTCAAAGTTGCGGTTGATCTCAGCCTTCTTACCACAAAGCAAGTTGCGAGTGTCGGCTGGGGAGCTTGTCCTGAAGAAATGCCAGCGATCATGTTTCCACCCTTTTCCACCGTAGTCCGCTCCTTTCTCATTTTCTTTTCCTATCCACAGGATTCCATCGTCGTCAGCGTGCGCAGTGCAAGGGCTATCGCTGTTGCAGCCAAAGGCTTTCAAGAACCAGTCCGAGTCCACAACATCTCCAAGAGTATAGATTTCGGTGCAGGCACGGGTCATCTCCATTTCTCCGATATCGAGAGTGTCGCTGTCCTTCATTTTGATTGCCTGGCTGATCATATCTTCGATTTCACTATCATCAAGCTCTTCCTTGATCGTATCAACTTCCATGCCATCGAGGGCTTTACGAGTGAAGTCTGTGGCGGAGTTCAAACCACTGAGGCCGCGACCCTTCGGTGCGACCTTTGATGAGACGGAACTGATCATAGCTTCAGCTGGTCGACCACACAATAGCCTGTGCGTTTCGGCCTCTGAGACTGTGTGCAGGTGACGAAACCTTCCAAACTCCTTTCCGGGACCAAATCCACTGTGACCGACAGGGTTTCCCATCCACAATCTACCGTCTTGGTCGACTTCGGCTTCGATGCATGGATGATTCACAGGGCAACCCCACTCTTCTTGAATCCAGTCAGACTTGTGAATATCTTCCAGAGAATAAATAGCCTTGCATCTCGAGAAGACGATTCCTTCCTCGACGACTTCAATGCTACCGTCCTTCAAGTGCAGTGTCTTTTCGACCTCTTCTTCGCCTTCCCAAACCGCGGAGAATGGTAATCCACAAAGCAAGCGGCGAGTTTCAGCTTTGTTTAGAGTTTGCCAGCCTTTAGAGTCTCCAACTGAAGCTCCCATCGCAAGAGTAAAATTCTCAGCATCGTACTTGGCCATACAAGGGTTGACTTCAGAGCAACCCCATTCTTCAAAGTACCAGTCCGAATCTACAATGCTGTCAATCGTCATGATCTCGTCACAGAAGTCTTCCGCAGATGGTGCCACGCTTGGAGAGCTGGAGGGGGCATGTGTATTGCCGGGAGTAAGAGTTGGAGCGGAAGTTGGAGGTTTCGTGGGCACCGGGGTTGGTCTGTGGGTGACTGCAGGTTCAGGCATAGCGTCGAGCTTGTCAACAATGTAAGCCAACGTTTCATCGATGCGGTCCATCCTCTCTTGAAGGATGTCCCCAGTCTTTGTATTGGCCTTTGCAATCTGGCCTTGGTTGGAAGTGACTGTATTGTAGATGTGATCGAGGTATTTGAAGGTAACTTCCATGTTGGCGAATATGGCATCTGTGTTTTCGTATACCTCAAGGTGATCGATTGCACTAGGTTCGCACAATTCGCTCATGGTGAATTCGGAGATTGCAAGGACGATTTCGAGCAGGGACAGGACGATTGCAAGAATGGGCATTAAGATGTTCTTGATTGCCCCGCAAATCGTGTAAATGATTCCCCAGCCATCGTCAGGGCATTCAAAGTCCGAGGTACTGTCGAGGATGAGGTTTACCACGGCACTAGCCTGTTCCAAAGCGAAGTTCGTTGCGGACCATGCTCCACCCTGAGTGACAGGCTCAGTCCCAGATCTATCCCTAGTTGGCTCCTTGAGGAACAAGGTGAAAGCCTTCTTGTCGATTGATGCAGAGGGGATTGCTTTATTCTCCTCTTTGTCGCTACCCTTGCTGCCCTGGTTGAAGAAGTTGTCGAGGTCTTCAAAGTTCCGTGTGTTCCTAAGCTGAATGACATTCTCGCAAACATCTGCATCATTGTTGTAGGCTGGAAGACGAGGGCAAAGACTTAGTTAGTTTTCGACTGAGGACTTGCAAGTCTGCTGCAGCTGGCGGGGAACACTTACTCTCGTCAAAACCAAAGTATTCACGGCTTCTACCACAGTCGTGTGCGTCATGTGGATTCTTGATTAGACCACCCTTGAGGAAGGCGGCGTATGGCAGGAAGCCGTTCTGCTCAGCCTTGGCAATCTGATCGTCAACACATTCTTGGAGAACCTCACAGTTGGCGGGTGACTGACACCAGAATCCTCCATGAGCAGAACACGCTTCCTCCGAGAGACCCGAGAGAAATGGGCCTGGATTCTTGCATTCAGCATGACACGACTTCTTTCGTCCCCAATCATCCCCTTGGTTTTCATAGGGTGCATCAAGACAGCAGTGTCCCGGGAAAGGCTGATTGAATTCTGTGATTCCTTGTTTTACACCGCAGACAAAACCAACGGATTGCTTTTCTCCGAGAGCAAGGTCAAATCCATCCTGGACCTTTTTGAAGACATCCTCAATGGCATCTTGCTTCTCCTTGGCGGGGAGACCTCGCAAGTCTGGGGAATGGTATGCCTCGTACTCATAGAATCGTTTGTGGGAATTGCGTTCGTCGTCTGCTTTGATTTGCCCAAACTCATCTCTGATGTTGTGCACGAAAAGTCAGGTGAGCATCACATCTTCCGAGAGCCATTCATACAGTTAATTGTGGTTGGTTTGGCTCCTTACCTAATGTCATAGTTGATGCCGGTAGGGATGAGCAGATCATCAATCGTGAGACGGTCCGTTTTGCTGTGTTGCTTTTCATCAGCGAAGATGAAGGGCTCACGCCTGTATCGTTCATCTTCTGTGCGGTTCTTTGAGTTGTAGAGGTCCCACGCGCAGTTCATCTGCTCTTCCAAAATCTTCGAGGTGATCTTCAAACCAACGGCCTTGGAAATCTCTCCAAGGGGTACAAACTCGGCTGTGCCCTCAGCCAAGCAAACCTGCGAGACAGTAGCGCCTTCCCAATGTGGCACGTCCCCTGTAGATGCAGTAAACACCGAGATTTGAGTGGCATGTTGCGATGTGATGGGCGCGACACATAATTCCTGGGCTTACCTTGCTCAATATTTCGGTGAAAGAGCTGAAGCAAGTTGTCACAGTCCTCGTCCAAGCCGTATGCCAAAAGCTTGTCTTCGGCATGCTTGTGTCGCTTCCAAATCTTCCTCGAGAGCAAGTTCACCTGCTTGTACTTTTTGTGCAGATCCCAGTCATCAAAATGAATAATGTCCTTATCAATCTTGCCTCCCTTGACATCAATATCGTCAGAGTAGACGCTGTATTCGAAGCAAAAGGGAAAACAGGCGTGGATGCTGTGAGTTGGATTCGATGTTGGACGGTGGTCATGGTCCCAATAATTAATAATTTCCATTCACTTACAAGATGAAGAGGTCATAGAAAGACATCATTCTTGCACAGTTTGTCAAGATCTTGCATTGCTTTCCTTTGGCATGTTCCAAGGGGTCCTCGTTGAAAGTGTTTACCTTTTTCAGTCTTCTCCCGCTACTGTTGGCCGAGTTGTATCTATCCGCCTTCTTATGATGGGTCCGAAGCACCTTGTGGAGGTGCGTGTGGTCGCCACTTAGGACTGCATCGTGCATTTTGCTTATTTTTTGATGCATATTTGCTGCCGACTGATCCCTTTCAAAAAAAACTTTGTACTTAGCACGAGTCTTCTTTTGGTGCTGTTGGTGGAAGCTGCTACCACCTTCGTCCATGTTTGGTGGCTTGGAATGGTACTTGAAATCAGAGAATTCGTCTTCTGCGTCCGTGGCAAGGTTTCGACGGTTGCGACGGCTTGTACGACGTCCAAGCTTGTACTCTGCAATCATGTCGGCAATCTCGCTGGATCCCATTTCGGCCTTGTGCATCAGTTCCACAACAGCGCCAACTTCCCTGAGTCCGGCATCGAGTGCTTCCTTAGTGTTGTCGCGGGCCTTTTCAAAGACCTCAAAACCACCAACGTCAAGCGCATCAAGCTGATCGCGGACAGTTTTGAGTGTCTTTTCGGCTTCCACAGCAGTCTCGGTCCTCTGGCGAAGGTTTTGCTTCTCGATTGAAGTCTTCCTCAAGAGCTGCGTCTTGGCTTGAATCTGACCCAATGCACCTGGGAGCTCTGGCTTGGGAATAGCAGGTTGTGCTTCAGGACTGGGCACGCCTATTGCTGATTCAGCGGTGTCCAGAGCATGGCCAGACCCAAGGAGCGCAGCCCACAACAAAATGGCTTTCGAAGTTGTCGGAAAAATCATCTGAACTGGTTTTGTCTTTCTTTCGTTTCTTTTTCGTTGGTGTGATCAGTGAGTGCTATAAAATGATGTATTAAAACTTTCTGTGGAGTTGTTTTTCTGCAGAGGAAAGCGAGTAACGGTGTCTGGTGTCAGGCATTATTGGCAGGCAAGCAGCATCAAGGAAAGCAGCCATTGGCCAGTGATTTTCTTACCTCTTGTTGCTTGTATAGATGTTTTCTGTCGGTTTTCTTCGTCTCGCAGTTCCTAGTAAGCAATACTAGCTAGTTGCTTTTGTGCGATTGTGTTTCGCTTGTGTTTGCGCTTGCTTCAGAATTGTGAAAAGACGATGAGGACGAGAGGGATGCTGCGCAACATCCTTTCAGCAAACACACATCACACATCCACGTTGGCCCCAGCCGAAGAATCCAACCCCAGTCATAGTTCAAAAGGTAAAAGATACTGGTACGTTCATGGATACAGTACTTATCTACCAACGCCTTGCAACGAAGCAACGGTTTGTTGTACAGTTGCGTATCTTTTGCATCAAAAGAGATGCTGTAACCGCAGAGGGACTAGTAGGATCGAGCCGCAGAGAAGAGCAGCTCAAGAAGTTGATTGGGAGTGAATGCATGACTGGAGATTGACATGGGCTCAAGGGAGGTGTTCTTCGGCAATCTTAGACCATTCAATACCCGGGTACCCCAAATCACAAAACCCAAATGCACTACGCTAAAAGCTAGTGTAAAGATCTTTCGAGTGTTTTGAGTTTGAGAGAATGAAAGTTATGAGAGGATTAGAAAGCTATGAAAACTAATCAACGAGAGAGATCCACAACCAAAGGATCGTAGATCTGAACTCCCGCGGGAGACTGTAGAGTGTGATAGAGTAGGTTGCGGTAGCAATTCTACTCACTCCACGATCCAAAAACGGAACGCGTGGAAGATTCGTCTAGCATTTCTCTAGTAGCGTGGAAGTACTCCACGCTGGCTAAATATCTAGAGCGATGTTTCATCATCAACCTAGTATGACTAGAGCGGTCATTGAGAACCCTGTCTCAATGACTATTCACGAAAGACTCAGTCATGAGTCGAACTCAAACCCTATCTAGGATCGAGTCGCGAATAAGTAAGAGCCTGTATTGCATTCGCCCCTGACAAGGGTCACGGAAGGCCGACAATCAGTCGGACAAGGAGACATATGAATTAAAGTGCGGGGCACTCTCCGGAGATTGGATGAGAAATGTGCGTCGCACGATGGAATCCTACAAGGGATCAGGCCTTGTATGGTGTAAATACTTATGTTCCAGTCTGGTGACTGTGCCGCTACTGGCGGTAGTATGTCGGACCGTACAGTGCCATTTATTGACTCGGTCTGTGTGTAAGGACCTTGTGCGTTGGCTGCGTACTAACGGTTTTGATACTGATGAATCATCATAGTATCGTTGACATGTGTTGATGAGGGACACGTTCGTGTTCTTCTTATCGGTGTTTTTCTGGATAAGTCGTGCGACGTTCCTTATGTATTTCCGTTTCTTTGAAACGGATTGGTGATCTTGTCACGAAATCTCTCTCTG